AAAAATGTACGGAAATTTCAATTACAAAGTAACTGACTTAGTTTTTTGTTTTTTTTTTTTAATAAAAAATTTTGGTAAATAATATACCTATATTTTATTTAAATAATATATTTATATTTTATACGTGTATATATATATATATATATATATTTTTATTTATTTATAGGTACATTATTGGATATGTAATTTACAGATATTTTTTTTCAGTTTGCAATTTTAGGGGGCGGTATGTGAGAGGGAATGACAACCAAAAGAAATGGGGTGATTGATATGCTATTAATAGGGAGTGTTAATTATAATTATGACAGTTAATGAAATGCTTGAAATAAATTATAAATAAAATATGAAGTTTGGTGGCAACGATGTAAAAATATAAGAATACTATGACCTCTTATATCCTACTAATCATTTAAATTTGAAATTGGGTTTTACACATAGATTTATAAAGTGATGGGTATATATTTAGGAAATAGAAAATATAGGAATCTATATTGGACAAGCCCTATTTTTTACAATGATAACATATCTCCAAACTGATGAAACTACATAATGTGTGCCAAAGCTGTCTCATGGAAAATAATAAAAAGGACATGAGTGTGTGGTTGTGTGCCTACAATATTATTCCATACCAAACCCCCATATTATGTTTTTTTTCTTCATACGACCTAATATTATGTTTCTGTATGGTGTTTCGACACTAAGTACAATTTGCATTCGTTGCTTTGCAGAGACTTACAGAACTAAAAATTAACCAACAGGTAGCTACTGCTAGCTACAGTGAATTCCCAAAAAAATAAAATAAAAAGAAACACAGACAAGAAAAGAAACAGGTGAGAGTACAGACAGTAGACTAGAAAGAAACAGGTGAGAGACGTGGGTTGTCGGTTGTCCACATATCATCATTAAATCTCTCCTCAAAAACAAAGTGTATCCATTAAATACTACGTATATACATGCTTAACCTAAACTTACATACAGGTACAGCTAAGCTAACACATGATTGATTGATATTTAAATCCAATTATTTAATAATGTGTTTTTTTTGGGTAACAAAACAAAAAGAAAAAGCAACATTCTTTCATTGAATCTAGGACTGAATTATGAATGCAATCCTAGAGTTATAATTATTTTTTTTGATAAATGTGATAAGCAAATATGCTAAGAATTTGTGGTGTAATTATTGATGTTGCATTGCATATCATGATAAGAACTGTTTCTTATTTTAATTTTCTTGTATATCACCATCACACAATGTAGCATTGGTGCACTCTCCCATGAGGACATGTCTATTTATATTCCTCTCCCCTCTACTGGTCAGCTAGAGTGTGAAAGTGAAGCACTGGGCCTTTTGTTATTGTTTCTGCTTGTGTGTGTGTTTGAGACAGAGAGAGAGAGAGGCTCCTTCCTTAATTGTCTCTCACATGTCTTGTTTATCTTCATAATTATCATATAGAAAAAATCTCCTGAAGGAAAGCATAAAAGTGAACCCCCCATCTCTTTCTCTCTCTCTCTCTCTCTCTCTCTCTCTCTCTCTGTGCTGCCTTAGATTTGCTGAGATCTTGAGTCGCTTTCCTGTGTCTGACTCCCATATGGTCATGGGGACAATGACCCTTAATTTCCCTCTGCAAAAGAAACTCTCTCTCTCTGCCCAACTCCTTTTTCTTCTTTACCTGCCACAAGAATATGGATTAGGGTTTTGAACAGCTCCTCTAATTACTTAGATTTTAGGGTTATGTGTATTTAATGGTCTCTTTCATTTATATATGTAGACAATGTTTGGATCCTATAATCTGCAGATGTGTACTGCTTGGAAGTTTCATAACAAGTAAGTCAATGGTTTCTTTATTTTCCTCTATGGTACTCTCTCTCTAGTTTTTCTTATATTATTATGCTTTGGCCCTTTGGGTTTTTACTCTCACTGCTAGCTCCAGTACTTTGGTCCTTTTTTGAAGTTTTAATTGGTTTAGCCTGAAGCAGAAATAAAGTGGGCTTTATTTCTATGATATATTTATATGATCTTTATGTTTTAGTTTGCTGAAGATTCACTTCTTAGCCTCCTCGAACAACCAAATTTTGTTGTTATTTCTTCTGCAGATGTTGTCTATTTGCCTTTTCTTTTATTTTTCAACTGTAACTAGTTGCTGATGAAGATGTTCATGATGAAAATTGGGTTTAAATCATATAGTATATATACTAGCTAGATTTCATGAAGTGGACATTTTGTTGTTGTTTATTTTTCATTTTAGCTTTCTGGGATTCATGAGGTCAACCATAAGGAGAAAAATCTGTTATAAGTTTGTCTTTAATTTCTGCTCAGTGCATGAAAAAACTTGTGGTTAGAGATGATTTGGGTGACTAATTTGGGAATAAGAAAAAATTAGCATTCTAATAACTTTTTCTTTGAAGAATGGAAAGGATTATATATATGGTTGCTCTGAATTAGCTACTGTTTGGTTTTGGGTATTTCTAAATGGCAAAAGCTCTCAATATACTGAGCTAGTTTGTTGCATAATTAGCTTCTCCAATATGAAAAACTGAAGAAAAATAATTCAATGCCTGTTTTGTCTGTGATGTGTGCAGATGTTGCTTCATTGATTTGAGCGCTAGAGTGAGAAAGTGGTGTCCAGTACAAAGTGCAGTTGCATGTTGGTGGGTTTTTAATTACTTGAGCTTAATTTATTGGCTTCTATATGAATGTCAGAAAACAACTCAAGTAGTCTCAGCAGGAATATTGATTAATTTGCATGGTGGGATTTGCTTTATTGGTAATGCATGTCAGAAAAGAAACTGGTGATGAGAGAATTGAAGAAATGGGGAGAGAGAGCTTTCTTCAGTCCACTCATGGATAAGATTTTAAGGGTTGTTGAAGTAGCTGCCGACTCATTCACTCAAGCACTCAGTAGAGAAATTCGAAAGGAGTGAGAAAAAAAAAACCATCAAACAATTTGCTACTGTGATTGTGTGAATGAAGCGGGAGATATTTTACATCCCTCTTTCTCTGCGCTTGGACTGAAGGGAGCTCCTCCTTTCCATTGCCTCCACTTTTTTCCGTACTCTAGGAACACATACTACACAAACACTTCGAGTTAATAGTCATTGTCGTCGTCATTACGATCATCTTGTGTTTATAGTAGTTTGTTACTCTTTACTAATTAACGGGACATCCTTAATGGCGTCGAAGACCTATTGGGAAATTGATTTTTTCTTGCAGGGTTAAGAGTTATCTTGGCATTGGACAATTGATTAATTAGGTCAAGTCTTGTTAAAATGTGTGTTTAGATGTACAATCTGCCAGCATAATTTAACTTGTTATTAGATACATTACATACACAGCAAGCATTTGATAAATCAGTTTGGTACTGCTACTGCATAATATATATGAAGAAGAGGGGCCTACCAAGACCTACCATCAAGTTATATCTGTTGCCCGCTGGGTTATTGAGAGAGAGATGACAGGCTCTCCCTTGTCCTCTATTTGTTTTGTTTCACCCTTCATATATATTCTCCTCTTTTTTCCCCCGACAAGTAAACTTGGTCAGCTGTTTTTCCCCCGATTTACTTTATTCCCTTCTTTCTAAAGAGTGTCAGCCAGCGACTTTTCTCCCTTTTTTCCCTCAATTTTTTCACTCTAAGAAAAACAAGCATCTGTCATTTTTGTAGGCATTGCATGCTTAAAAAAGACCACTAGTTTTTGTATAATTTTGCACATACATGATCCCTTGTGAAAGTCCAAATGTACATGTCAGTATATAACATGCAGCAGCAAACACCATGCACAGACCACCACCCCCACCACCACTGCAGTGATTTGTGGAAGGCAACCTAACATTATATTTCTCTGAAAATTAAAGTTCCAACAAAGTTAACCGTGTTTTCTTCAACTATTGGCTCGTGCGGCTGCGTTTGCGCAGGTAAAAAAGTATGCTTTCTTAATTGGTATTGTTTATACATATATATTTATCTATGTGAAGGCTGAAGGCTGAAGGCCTCGGTTCTCATTCTTGCATGTGTTCATCGAAAGCTGTACCCTTTTTCTGGCATTTTTCATTTCATTTGGAGCTGTGCCTGCCAGCCATTCAGTCTTCTATGCTGCTGTCTTTTATTTATATTTATTTTTTTAATTACCAGAGAAAGGGTTTTCTCTCTTAAAATGACTTTAAAAAGTACAAAAGTGTGGAACAAATAAGGAAATTAAAGCCAGGATTATATTATATATATGATTAAAGCTTTTTCTTGGAGGTGGGTTTCTGTTTTTAAGTCTTTTTTGTTGGAAATGGGCGGTGAGTGGTGTAAAAATCTGATAATGTTGATAATGTGATCACTGTAGATTGCCATATTTGGGAAGATTGGGGCAAATGGGCTAACTTCCTCTTTTGGAAATCAGCATTTGTTTAATGCAGAGATGAATGGAACTTTGGGAGTTTCACGTTGGTCATGTAAATTTCTTGCAGGCAAGGCATGCACTGTGGCCCCCTTTTTCTTTTTCTTCTTCTCAGGACTTACAAACTCCAATGGGTGAATGAAGCAGCTTGGCTAAAGTTCAAGTTTATTCTTTTATACGGATCTTTTTCTGTTTTTTCTTTCCTTTGTTTTTTGGAATGAATGGCAAAGTGTGCTCTTGTCTTGTGGTTATAAGGCATTAGTTTGGTTTCATTTAAACAAAAGAATAAGGGGCATATTAGCATTCGTGAGCTTAGTCAAGTTGGCTAGCACCCGGATATAAGGCATTATTAAATAAGAATGGACTATTTATACTTCTTTTGGGATTACTTAAACCTTTTAAGAATCCTATACTCTTGGGATTACTTAAAACTTTTAATATGAGCTTTACACGGTTTCATTTTTCTAGTGAAAAACACATAATATAATCTAAAGGGTTAAATTGTAAATAGTGTTTTTATTATATATAAAAAATTAAAATCAAAAGCGGGAGTTTTATACTACAAAATTGGAGTTTCGAGAGGCTTATTGTATTTAACATTTGTCCCATTATCAACGCTATGGTTGAAAACTCTCTTTTAGGTCCCATTTGTAACAAAAGAAATTCAGAAAATAATGATGAGCCCCATTATATGCTTATCTAGACGACAGCTGACCTCATTCCTACTAAATTGCAACAATTTTTTAACTAAAATCCAAGTTATGTATACCAGGAATGTACTAGCGTAGTGGTTTGGAGCAATTGCTTCTCTCGGAAATGTCATAAGTTTGAGTCTTAGCATCGTGTAATGTGTGTAAGTTTAGTATATTATTGCTTCTCAATAGGAAACTTATTTATTCACAAGTTTACATATAACTCTATACAAAGCAAAAATGATGTAAAATAATAACATTTATATATATGATTAAGAAAATAAAATATCAAATCCAACAAATTGTATTAGCTTGTAGATGCAACTTCAAATTGTTTCTCATGACGCAGCTTGGCTAAAGTTCAAGTTTATTCTTTTATACGGATCTTTTTCTGTTTTTTCTTTCCTTTGTTTTTTGGAATGAATGGCAAAGTGTGCTCTTGTCTTGTGGTTATAAGGCATTAGTTTGGTTTCATTTAAACAAAAGAATAAGGGGCATATTAGCATACTTGAGCTTAGGCAAGTTGGCTAGCACCCGGGTATAAGGCATTATTAAATAAGAATGGACTATTTATACTTCTTTTGGGATCACTTAAACCTTTTAAGAATCCTATACTCTTGGGATTACTTAAAACTTTTAATATGAGCTTTACACGGTTTCATTTTTCTAGTGAAAAACACATAATATAATCTAAAGGGTTAAATTGTAAATAGTGTTTTTATTATATATAAAAAATTAAAATCAAAAGCGGGAGTTTTATACTACAAAATTGGAGTTTCGAGAGGCTTATTGTATTTAACATTTGTCCCATTATCAACGCTATGGTTGAAAACTCTCTTTTAGGTCCCATTTGTAACAAAAGAAATTCAGAAAATAATGATGAGCCCCATTATATGCTTATCTAGACGACAGCTGACCTCATTCCTACTAAATTGCAACAATTTTTTAACTAAAATCCAAGTTATGTATACCAGGAATGTACTAGCGTAGTGGTTTGGAGCAATTGCTTCTCTCGGAAATGTCATGAGTTTGAGTCTTAGCATCGTGTAATGTGTGTAAGTTTAGTATATTATCGCTTCTCAATAGGAAACTTATTTATTCACAAGTTTAGGTATAACTATATACAAAGCAAAAATGATGTAAAATAATTATCTATTAACATTTTTATATATGATTAAGAAAATAAAATATCACATCCAACAAATTGTATTAGCTTGTAAATGCAACTTCAAATTGTTTCTAAAAGTTCTACAAAGAAAATGCTCTTTAAGCATTACAAGGGCTAACGTTTGGTGACAAGTAATCTCTGCGCCTTTTGGATAGGATCAAGTAATAATCTTCTAAATCATCGTCATTAGTGATTGCAAGTGTTCAACTAATATTAGTTAATTCTTAATTAAATTAATGATAATTTGGCGTGGCTATATCGTCTACGTAGACTAGGGCACACGACACAAAAAAAGGGGAAGAAAAATAAGAGAAATTTAAACAAAAAGGAAACGCAGACGTATCGTTGTCATGTTCTCGGCAGATATGGCCCGTCTGTCTCAGATTAGAAAAGGTCAGTCATCGAAATTCAGCAATTGACTCTCGCTCTGAATGCAATTTCGATTCCATTTCATTCCGTTGGTTTCATGCGTTGCCAGTCCCCTCTTTTTCTTTTTCTTCCTTTTATATAATTACTTTCTTATTTGTGTTTTTTTTTTCTTCCGATGGAAGATTTGCAGCTGTACGAAGGATTTGAACTTCCGCTGATCATTGTGAAAGGCTGCTGAAAGTGTAAGTTCGGAAAAATTTGCAATGGTTTTTCATTTTTCGTATATGATTTCTGTTTGTCATTCTGGTGGTCGAGATTTACTAGCCGTAGTCTTGTGATTGCTTGATTGTTGACGACAATTCTCTGGGAAATGTGCTTATTCTAATGGAGATTTTCTAAGTTATGAATAAAATTTGGTGAATTTGGTAATGGGAATTGGAGATTTGCTCTGAAAAATAGGAGGGGCGTTGTGGGGTTCTTCACGAGGTTGATAATTGCTATAGCATTCTACAAGTTTTTGCTTTTTCTAGAAACTTATTGTTTATATTGATTTAGCATTTGATCTGATTCATCCCTTCTTAGCTTCCTTAGAGGCTTTCAGTTTGATGTTGTTAAGTATATACTGCCCTGCAGAACAATCATTCTTATGTTTCTGGATTCTTAGGATCTGGTCCCTTTTGTATTTGAGAACTTTTTGTGTTTTGCTCCTTATGAGCAATTGTTCCCCTCCCTCCACAGCTTTAGCATCCGATGTCAACTCTTTTCTTCTATTTGAAGCATCCTATGTGGAATTTGGTATTGGCAATGGCAGAATTAATCTTTATTCATCTTTGCATGTGCAGGCTATCTATTGTTTCTCACGATTATTGATTGTGGCGATTGCTTAGAAGTGTGCCTGCTTACCTCATGAGTTCAACAGTTTCAACATCTCGAGGAATACATTCGCCCGCAAGGCTTGACACGTATGAATCACCAGATGCTGGGGCTTCTGGCTCTTTTAGCCAGCTTGAACCGGACATAAATGACGGTGAAACAGAGTTACTCTCTGTATCCTGGAATCAGGACTATGGTTGCTTTTCTGCAGGCACAAGCAACGGTTTTCGTATCTTTAACTGCGAGCCTTTCAAGGAAACTTTTAGACGTGATTTGAAAAGTGGGGGATTCAAAATTGTGGAGATGCTGTTTCGATGCAACATTCTCGTACTTGTTGGAAGTGGGGACAATTCCCAATATCCACCTAACAAGGTTATGATTTGGGATGATCATCAGAGCCGATGTATTGGTGAATTTTCATTCAGGTCTGAGGTTCGTTCAGTAAGATTAAGGCGTGATCGCATAGTTGTTGTTCTTGAGCACAAGATATACGTTTACAACTTTATGGATCTGAAGCTGCTGCATCAGATCGAGACTGTAGCAAATCCTAGGGGATTGTGCTGCCTTTCACATCATCCAAATACATCTGTGCTGGCTTGCCCAGGCCTTCAACGAGGACAAGTTCGGATTGAACATTTTGGGCTGAACATGACAAAGTTAATAAATGCTCATGATTCTCATATTGCATGCTTCACATTAACAATGGATGGACTGCTTCTTGCTACTGCTAGTACAAAGGGTACTTTGATAAGAATCTTCAACACAATGGATGGGACTCGCTTACAAGAGGTAGCATATTGCACTGTGAATATTATTGTTCTTCAAGTTTATGATGAATGGCTGGGGATTCAGTACTTACAGTAACATGCTGTGAAGTACTGAATAGAACAAAGGTTGTTTGTATTTAGCCATAATTTTCTAGTATAAATATATATTCTTTTATGTATGGGAGAAGTGGTGCCTACTAGTAAGTGTCTTTCTTAAGGAAAACACTGCATATATTTATCTCTTGCCTCAATGTAGGTACGCAGAGGAGTGGACAGAGCAGAAATTTACAGTATTGCTCTCTCTCCGAATGTCCAGTGGTTGGCAGCATCGAGTGACAAAGGTACTGTCCATATATTCAGCCTCAGAGTTAGAGTATTTGGGGAGGATTTGTCTGCCCATTCAAATTCTGCTCAAGGGCCAGCAATGTTTCAGCAGAATTCGTCAAATGCCCTAGATCCTCTTATTTCTCAAAACACTGGTGCTAATTCTAGTTCATCATTGTCTTTCATGAGAGGTAAGGCAATGTGCCAAAAGATAATTTTCAAGACTTTGGAGTTACTATGAGTCATCTGCTTGGATACTTTGCATCTCTGCTCTAAGTGTTTGAGGGGCATACATGTTTACTTCTCTAAAATTAACTCATGTTTCTGAACTTCGGTTTGGAGTTCTTTTGCAATTTTGCGTTTTCTTCTAAAAATATCTAATCCTTGTGAACAATTTTGCAGGGGTTTTACCTAAATATTTTAGCTCAGAATGGTCATTTGCTCAGTTCCGCTTGCCAGAAGACACTCAATTCATTACCGCATTTGGTTCACAGAACACAGTCATCATTGTTGGCTTGGATGGGAGGTATTGTCTCTCTTAGTACGAGTGCGCATTTGTGTTTATGTTCACTTGCCTAAAAGTTTTGGAACTATGGTCAAGTAAATATTCCTCGATGGTATATCTGGATTCATGGATGGCTTTAACTCCAAACGACTTTAAATGACGAATCTAACCCTGAACCAAAGACCTGATTGAGAATGATATACAACATTAGTTAGTTCAATGCTTTTGTAAATAGTTGGACCAATTTTTTGTCTCCCTCCTTACCCTGCTCGCTGATTTTCTTCTCTCGCTGGTTTATCAGTTTCTACAGGTGCAGTTTTGATCCAGTTCATGGAGGTGAGATGTTGCAGCAGGAATACATACGGTTTCTGAAAACTGACAGTAGGCCAAGATAGAGTTTGTTCGAATAATTCCTGGAGCTATCCATTCTTTCATCCGGTGTACATATTGGCAAGTTCTGAATATCTGTTGGATGTAAATATTTGGAAGTGTTGTGTTGTTCCTTCTTACCATATATCTGGTAAAATAAAGCCAATTATTATACTTATTATAATGCCAAATGTCAGTGTGTATGAAACTCTAGCCCATAATTTGCTTGATACATACTATCTTTGAGTAACTTTTTCAGCAAAGAAGCTGATAAACCCAAATATAAACTGGTTAGACTCTGAGCTCTGAAACAATCTTGAGCTTGGTCATTCCTAAATGAAGTTAGATTGGCCTTTGTTATATAATTAGCTCATCCACAAAATTTCGGATAATTTTTCAGAATCAGTAACGACTCAGGTTTCATAACTGGTACCATGAACCCAAACCATTTTATCTTATTTATTTATTCGTATCATCAGCAATCAAATAGGAAACCATATGTTTGTCACAAGATATGAAAAGGGGCAGTTTCTGGATTTGAAGTGCCGACGATTAGAAGGCCCGCCCATCCCAGCTGAACGCTGATCAAGTTAAAGCTTTGATCTTACACTTGTCTGATCGTCAAGAACAAGCATCACTTTTCCAATGGCTTTCCTATCTTTGATGGCAGAAAACGCAAGATTGGCCTGTCATTTACAAGGCAATTGGGAGCAGCTCAGATAATCAATGTTTCACAATAACTTGAAATAAAAGCAGCAATCACGCACAATGAGCATGAATCTTAATCACACGACCAATATTTGACCAAGTTCCTTGAATAAATATACTAAAATATGGTTCAACATATGATGAGTTCTATACTTTGTCCAACTAGGGCTTCTGAAGAACCTACTCTAAAGTTTCATACCTTCTTCCAAATCCTAACCCATCCAAACCCTTGTCTCTTCTAATTTGTTCAGGTGAAATACCCCCTGGTTTAGTCCACAACTTGACTTTCATTGCATAAGGTTTTGTGTCCATCATGGCGCCGCCGCCCCCCCCCCAAAAAAAAAAAACCCACCCTCTGCACACGCCCTTATACTCAACAGACAACAACCAATGATGGTGGCACATCTTCAAGCAAAAGCTTTGATCAATCTATTGTACCTATGTTAAGGGGTTAAAAAAGAGTGTAAGGAAGTCCCTAACCTCTGGCAGGCGATAAGTATGAGAGATGCGGATGGTGATCAAGCCTCTTGCCACCCAGGACAGTAGCTCCTTGAGTGAATCTTCAAGAACAGCTGGTCGATGAATTCTGTAGCTACCCCAGTAAAGTCCATGCACTGTCCAGTTCTGGTACAAAGTAATACATAAGTAGAAGGGCATCAGTTTGGAACCGGAAAATCAGGAACAAAAAATATATTTCATGCACATGTAATAAACACAATACAACACTAACTTGGTCTTCAGTGAAGTGGATCCTTTGTTTTAAAATATACAAATACACTGACTATTGACTAGTAAGGAGACAAATTCAGATACAGAGATTTCGTACACACTGTTTTCATTAAAGCCTTCTCCAATATCACTCTCATATATTTCAAGTAAGGATGGCTTCATATACAGATGCCACAGGCTATGTGGTTGAAGCGGCCAGACTAGTCAGTTAACTGAGAATTGGTGCCTGTTACTGTTCAACCTTCAACTTGGTTCTAAATCACAACTTTTTCTTCAAACTTTGAGAAAAACAAGTAAAAACTATCAATTGATCATTTCCAAATGACTTCTATAATTCTCAGTAAGCATTTCAATCCTTAGCAGGCTTTGATCATTTGAGCCAACAAATGCAACATTTTGGGGCTGGAGGGAAACAAACACTACCTTAACAAGGGCAATATTTGCAGGGATAACAGGGATCTCTCCACTGGCAAAGCCTATGACCAAAATGTTGGCCCCCCAACTCAAAACCTTCATGGCCTCTTTAGTAAGCTTGCCTCCAACTGGATCATACAAAACGTCAACCCCTTTAAGCTTTCTGGTTTTCAAGAAGACCTTGACACTTTGGATAAGATTTTGAGTGCTTGAGTCCACGACATGATCAACACCCAATGACTTCAAATACTGCACCTTCTCAGCTCCCCTGGAGATTTCAGCACCCAAATAACACAAACTCCATTTGTAAATGCATCAAATTGAAAGCAAACAGCAATCCCAATTCCCAGAAAACAAAAACAATGAGAGGATGAAATAAGTTGAAGTACCTAGCTACGGCAATAACAATGGCTCCAACAACCTTGCCAATCTGTACAGCTGCAAGACCAACACCTCCAGCTGCACCAAGAACCAGCAATACCTACAAATAAACACAAAAACTCAAACACAAAACAAATACAGACAGAAACAAATACAAATGAAGATCATCATGAATATAAGTACTTGGCCGGAGGTCAAATTGGCCCGGTGAACAAGAGCCACGTGTGATGTCCCAAATGCAACAGGCAGTGCACCAGCAGCCACCAGATCACACCCCTCTGGCACTCCAAACCTTCAATCATCATTCCCACATCAATAAACAAGAGAGAGAGAGAGAGAGAGAGAGAGAGAGAGAGATGGGGTAGCTGAACTCACAGCTCGGTCTGGTCGGCGACGATGAATTGGGCAAAGGAGCCGAGGGCGGCAAAAGAGCAAACAGGGTCGCCGACTTTGAACTTGGAGATGGAAGGTCCCACGGCGTCGACGACGCCGGAATAGTCAGAGCCAGGGATGAAAGGGAGGGGTGGCTTCTCTTGGTACTTGCCCAGTATCTGTAGATAATTGGCGTAGTTCAAGCTCGTAGCTTTCACCCTCACCCTCACAGATGTGGGAGACACCAATTCAGGAAGTGGATGATTCTTCTCCACCACTATTGCTTTCTCGGCTCCTCCTCCTGAAATGGGTGCTGTTGGGTCTCCCAATTTTCTGCAAACCAGAGCCTCCATTGTCTTCCTCCTCGGGAATTTGGTTTCTGGAAGAGAGAGCTTCAATCTTCTTATATTAAAAAGATCAAATTGTGGGCAATTTTAACTTAGTTTCTTTGTTTCTGCGTTAATAATGCAAGTACGTCGTCGTTTTCCTTCCTGAAGGAAAACAGAAAAATGAGAGTTTCTTTCTTTTATTACTTGTTATATATTTTATTTTAAATAGCAGTTTTATCCATGTGCTTAAAATTCAGGTGAGGGGGTTGAGATCGAAGGCGCCAAAATCCGTATGGGGAGCAGAGCAGGGGTTTGGGTTGGGGTGTGCCCGGACTTGGTCTTGCTTAAGAATTGTTGCAAAGTTTCAAGCTTTCATGGCGGTAACAACATCAGCTTAAGCTTTCCTTCAAGATTTGGTTCAGATACCAAATGCCCCACCAGTCTTAAATGCTTCCCAGTCGCTTCTGCTTCTTCACTCAGTGGCTCCGGTGCCCAATACACTGGTTCTGGTATCTAAATTTTGATCTTTATGCATTTCTGCTCTTCTTCACGCATGTAACATGCTTTTTCTTCATCAAATTCTTCATTCCTGCTTTGTTTTATGTTTTTGATTAACCAAACCAATCAGTTGGTATTTTAAATGTACTATGGGGTTGTCTTTCTTGTTACTTGTTAGTATATCTTTTGTGTGTGTGTGTGTGTTTGTGTGTTTGCGCTCAAACTTTAAATCTTCACCAGAGCAATTGCTGGATGTGCAAACAAAGCAGAAAAGGAAGGGGATAGCTGGCATTGATCAAGATGAACTGGTGGATCCTAAATTTTTAGCTGACCCGGATAGTTGTTTTTGTGAGTTCAGAGGAGTGGAGATACACCACAAGGTGTATGATGCACAATCACAGGCACATGAGGCTGAGGCCCTCTCTAGCCAGACTAAGAACGTTGGTCTTCCTATGATTTTATTACATGGTTTTGGTGCCTCAGTTTTCTCGTGGAATCGAGTTATGAAACCGTTAGCAGAGGTCATTGGTTCCAAAGTTGTTGCCTTTGATAGACCAGCCTTTGGGTTGACATCAAGGGTAAACCTTTTTGGGCATTCATCATCTGGAAATGGGGAACCAAGACCTATAAATCCATATTCCATGGCATTTGCAGTGCTTGCTACCTTATACTTCATTGATTTTCTAGCAGCCGAGAAGGCAATTCTAGTGGGGTATGTACTTAAATCATTATCTTTTGGTACTGCTTTTTAGATTAAGTCTCATTTTGTACCTTTTGGCTATATATAAATTCTTTTAGGAGAAACAATAAAATTTCACAATCATTGTGATCATCTCATCAGTATTTTAATTTTTAAATTAGGCATTCAGCTGGTTGTCTTGTAGCAGTTGATGCATATTTTGAAGCTCCAGAACGTGTTGCTGCTATGATCCTTGTTGCCCCAGCAATTTTTGCCCCACTTACTATTAAAAAGGGTGTCAAGGGATCTCAATCAGGAGAAGATAACCAGACTAAAGAAGATAGCCCAAATTCAATAAATCTAGGGAATCCTTTTATCCAGCTTTTCAGGATGTTGTCCAAGTTTGCCAAATTTATTTCACAGGCAATAATGCGAGTGGTGAAGGGGATGGTAGGCATGTTTAGCTCTTTGTATAAGAAATTCTTGTCAGCTGTTCTACGCTCTGCCTTTGCTGTAATGCTAGTAAGGAATTTCTCTTTTGACTCAATTTCACACTACATTCAGTTTGATTTTTCCAGATACTGTCAAATTGATCAAGTGTTCCAGCCAACCAAAGAAAAATATCAAATGGCTAAGACTATGTTGAAAACATCTTGTTCAAATATTCTCATTAGTCCAGTATAAGGGTTGTATAACTGATTTTCTTTTTTCTTGCATATTATTGTTTTTCTTTGTGATATTTTTCTGCCCTTTTTTAAACATACTTGTGCTACATCTGACAGTGACTTACCACATGATTCTCAGGTAAGGATGGTTATTGATAAATTTGGTGTTACTGCTGTTAGGAATGCATGGTATGACGCGAATCAAGTCACTGAACATGTTATACAAGGTTATACTAAGGTTATTATCTTTAATAGTTTTGCCTTCTCATTTGTTTTTTATTTTGGGGGAGCATAGTGCTCACCTGGATGTTAGTTCACGTGCAGCCATTGAGGGTTAAGGGTTGGGACAAGGCACTTGTGGAGTACACAGCAGCAATGCTTACAGACACATCATCTGAATCAAAGCCACCACTGGCAAAAAGACTTCATGAAATCTCATGTCCTGGTAACAGTTATAACCCTATAAATTTCCCACTTAGTGTTAAAGTGGGTTGAAGCATGTATTGATAAATACGTCAATTGGAAGGAAAGAGACTTAATTAACTAAAAAGAATGTCCCCTTAGACCAGAAAAGTAGTTTTTCTTTTCCCTAGTGTCCCAGATGCCTTGTAATCCATGTTGAAGAAGAAACATGTAACGTTAATTCTAATCATTCTCTCTTTGAATCCCAGTCTTGATTGTTACGGGTGATAATGACCGAATTGTCCCCTCGTGGAATGCTGAGAGACTTTCACGAGCCATACCTGGATCTTGCCTTGAAGTTATAAAGCATTGTGGGCACTTGCCACACGAAGAGAAAGTTGATGAGTTTGTTTCAATAGTGAAGAAATTTCTGTAAAGAGCTTTGGAAGATTCTGAGGAGCAACATCTACAAGTTGTAGTGTGAAGTTTGTCTCCTATATCCCATGCTACTATGTCACGGGGAAAATTGGCTGGCTCGATCAAGCAAACTAACATAAGAATGTTGTCAGTCTATATCTGAAGAATTTGGGACGTCGGAAAATAGTCCGGCCAGGAAATGGGAAATACCCATAAATCGAAGTATATAATACAGCAGGTGTAATACCCTCCATGTTAATATTTCTGCTTCACTCAGTCACTTGGACATTCAGTAGTTGTAATACTAGTGATTTGAGTGTGTCAATTGTTGTCTCTTGATAGACAAGTACTGAGATTAGTAAAACTGCAATTTTCTTTCTGATCTGCTGTCATTTGATATTATATGTAATGGAGCAAAACCCTATGCACATTCTTGTTCTTTACTGAGATCATAATCTGAGAAAGGAGTTTAACTGCATTAATGGGATAACCACGTTTAAGTAGTGGACTTTTATACTGCATTAATTTGATACAACATAATTACCGATGCTAATTACAAACTTGGTTAAAAAGGAGGATCAGTTGATATGGTGAGACTAGCATCTTGTAATCCTGAAGGCATATCAAATCCTGACATAAAGTCATCACCAAAGATCACAGCACCGGCCGCCAGTGCTCCAGCACCCATTCCCATTCCAAAACCCGGTGCCCCTCTACGACCAGGCGGTGCTCCAGATGAGGGCATATTAACATAGGTATCCGACATTCTATCTGTTCTTGGGATAAAAGTGGGTATGTACCCAACATTAGAAGGTGGGGGAGGTGGTGGCGGAGTTTTGGGCGGCTCATAGCTTGGTCCACTTGCTGGCGGGTAGCTTGGTCCGCTGGATGGCGGGTAACTTGGTCCGCCTGATGGCGGGTAGCTTGGTCCAACTGCAGATGGGTTGGAATAGTTTGCAGGGAAAGGCCTTGGTGGTCCAACTGCAGATGGGTTGGAATAGTTTGTAGGGAAAGGCCTTGGTTGTGCGTATGGAGAATTGATATGTGCGTATGGAGAATTGATACGGAGCTGACTTTCTGGCCTTTGGTGTGTAGCTAGAGGTAGAAATGTTGGTGAAGACCCATCTCCAATAGCCAAGGTGATGGTATTGCTGAAAAAAAAAAAAAAAAAAAAAAAAAAAAAAAAAAAAAAAAAAAAAAAAAAAAAAAAAAAAAAAAAAAAAAAAAAAAAAAAAAAAAAAAAAAAAAAAAAAAAAAAAAAAAAAAAAAAAAAAAAAAAAAAAAAAAAAAAAAAAAAAAAAAAAAAAAAAAAAAAAAAAAAAAAAAAAAAAAAAAAAAAAAAAAAACAAGAGTTACATAAGAATCATTGGATCTTTCAGAGTTTCTGAAGAACACCCCCATGAATTATGAATACCTGTGTATGAGCTTCGAGCTTCCATGTCCTCAGATATACGTATTGAAACATCGACAAATCCTTGAGGTTTGTTGGAGTTCTTTTTCCGCAATTGATAGCTCCCAACGTCTTCAGCTCCTTGTCTTGAAGCCTCAGAATTCTTGTTATGCTTAGCCAGAAATTCTCTCAAGACTATAGTTGCTGTACCCTGAAGCCTCTCTCTGAGGAATATAGGCTCTCTGCTGTACACTTCAATGTGCAGCGCCAGATCCTGCAAGTTCGACTCCGAGTCCTCAACCAAGGTAGCAAACTTGGTTTTCCATACTGGATTTGCATTTCCAGATGCATCAATCTTGGTGCAGTATTTGTTATTCGGGTTAGTCCACCCAACGGCATACCATTGGAGCTTCCATAAGGAAGACGAACGCCGGAGCCCTCTAGCAGATATCAGGCACACTTCAACCCAGAGTTTCCCCATACCAAGCTAATTGAAGAAAGAGAGAAATTGAGAGAACTTTCTTGTGCAAGGTTGTCTTAGGATAAGTTGATATGAAGAACAAGAAGGGAAGCTGTTTTACATTATCTTGACGGCTACTTTACTTTGGGGGTGAGATAATTTTTATACCCGAGCAACATTATGGGGTAACCCCTTTTGTCAAACTTCTTTTCCCCAGCATAAGTGCATCACAGACGGGCAGGAATCTGTAATTAGAAAATAGAAACCGTACAGGAGAATACTGTAGGGAATATGACTAAAATGGTCATGTGTTAACAGTGAAACTACTTTACAAAAGTTTACATGATCTTGACTTTTAACCCATGGAAGGGTGGGCTAACAATCAAATTACCAGATTACAAGTAAACTAGCCTCCTCCCTCCAGGAAAAAGAAAAAGAGAGCCCATTTTGGCTCTTTTGTTATAATTTGATTATGCAACATCTTCAAGCCAAAATGGAGACAACCAACAGAGCACACAAAAATCTTCTCATCTTGGTGCTTCAGCCGAGTTAAAAACCGTGGCTCAACTTCATGATTTCATGGTCTTGGAGTATGGCAAGGTCTTCGAAAGTGGTGGAACTAACAATAGCTTTCGACCGGCACGTTTAACCATCTGGTTGTCTTGAGGATTAGTTGAAACGCTACTCCTTGTATACATCATTGCAGTGGAGCCTAAAATGTCATCCCCAAAACCGCACACTTCGAAGAATGACCTGAAATTAAGATTTACAGCAGATATTTATCCTCACAATCACAATCACATTGTAAGGGGAAACTTTGTTCAGCAAAGCATTGAGTCAGATTGGTATGATTAGTTACCTCTCATTCTCTGAGCAAAGGGCTGCTATGTCATAGATGTCTCTACTTGTGAGCATTCTGCACGAAGTATTGAAATACTTTTTAAACACCACAAAAAGGGCATCTTTATTTCAGGATGTTACATACAATCCCTAGAGTTCAAACAAGCTACTAGCTAGTCAATGTTACAAGTCCTATAATTCGGAAAAAGCAACAGTAAAGCAAAAAACTTGAGAGAGAAAAATAAAGAAAGAATAGTGAACCTTATGATTCTTTTAACTATCATCCTGCCAATTCCCATTCCCCGCAATGAAGGAAGCACCTGGAAGACACTGAAGCATATCTATATCAATACTTCCCAAGTTCAACACTTTCTCTTGGAAATTAAACTCAGAAGAAGATTAATCACAAAACCAATTTGATTTGATTGATATATACCATGACATCGTAGATGGAGGCAGTGAGTCCAAGATCAGAAACTGCACGCCCAAAGCCAACCAATTGACTGTTCAATGGGGTAACAGGCATCACCACATTCTGCAACAACTCTCCAAAACCCACTATCTTCTTCTTCTGCTGCTGCTGCCGCTGCTGCTTTTCCTTCAAAAATGATGAAGATGATGAAGAGCAACCAATCACATCATTTGGCTTGCAGAAGACTGAGACCAAGACTGAACTGTGGGAGAGAGCGACGCGCAGCTTGTGCAAGTCCACAGCTTCAACGACGCAGCGGCCACCGCCGGCGTCCACGTAATTGGGGAAACGGTGGCATGAGAGGTTGCACGCGATGAAGAGGTCACTGAGGTCATCTGGGTTCACGTGGGATGGGTTTGTGGATATGAAAACTGGGACCAGGGCTTGCAGGGTTGCTGGTGCTTTTGGTTTCGATTCTGATGGCGTTTTCATGGTTTTTTCCATTTGGGTTTTGCCGCCTCTGCTTCTTCTGCTCAACCATTTTAGCTCCATGGTTTTCTTGGTCGTGTGACCCTCTACTATATGCATGGGCATAGCAGCTGCTGCTGCTGTAGCTGCAGCTGCACTAATCTCCATTTCTTTGTCTTTCTCTCTCTCTCTGCAATTTTTTGTGAATCGTTCGTCCTCTGGAATGGAAGATAATGTTGTTGAGTGTGTTCCTGAACTCATAAACTCATAAACTTGCATAGGTGGTTTGCAAAATCCAAATGAAATCCGAAAAGTCAAAAATGCCCTTACTGTTTTCATGATATAGTAGGGTGAAAACGCCGCTATCTATTTTACCTATTCACGAATTCACCCCAAGGTCTGTCTGTTGTCTTTTTCGAAACTATTAGCAAATTGCCAATTGGTCCTTTTGCGCTAGACGACAGTAGTTTAGCTAAACCTTTAGATTGCTGCCACTTGTACGGTTCGATCTTCGTTCATCCTCTTCTTAGACCTTTCCCGCGGCCGAGCGCGCTCCGTAAAGAAACTTTTTTACAGAAAAAACATGAAAGAGATTTGATGCTTTAGTCTAAACCCGTACCCTACTAAACCGACCCGGATTCTGCTATTCTGCCATATAACTAAAAGGTCCAATTTTTGAAAAGACTTGAACAAGAAAACATGGGAAACCCCAATCTCCATGACATTTGGTCCTACAAATTTTTATAGTGAGATTGTGAACCAATGTGTATGGTTATGAATATGAATCAAAGCTACTCTCCTCAGTCAAGACAATGTTATCAATCAAAAGTTCACAATTGGAAGCAGCAGGACATGGATTTTATAGGAAAAACCAAAAACAAAAGCAACTTCATCACACCATTAGTTCATAAAAGCAAAGGATAGCAATAAGGTCTCATGTTCTGAGGAAAGAAACATACGATACTACGGAAAACATGTTTATTCATGTAAAGTACTCATAAAGCCTGCCTCAGAGGCGAAGAGTCCATGGGAAGTTGTCAGTTCCCGCTGTGGCAGCTTGCCCCTGAGAGCTTGCTGGAGGATCTCGGGTGTTTGATGATCCGTCTCGACGACGACCAACACTTAACCATTCATCTATGTCTGATAACTCTATAGCACTTCTGCTGGTTCCAGAGGTTGACGTATTCTGACTCTGCTGCTCAAATAGCTTGTTGAAGAAAGGTTGCTGTGGTCCTAACTCTGTTGGCCTAAACAAATTCAAACCTTGGCTTGCCTGCTCGACATTGCTTCCATAGTGTGTGCTTCCTCTACCAGCCACTGGTTGAAACTGATGTGCTCCACCTCCAAGATAACTTGGGCCCAGGGCTGGACTCTGACTTGGTCCAGAAACAAACTGGGGAAGCCGCGCTGCAGACCAAAATGGCCATGGACCATGAATCTTCTCAATTTCCCTCCTTATATCGGAGGCATGCACATCAGCTATCAACACATTCTTGCCTTTACCATCTCCAAATAAGGAGTTCATAGAGGAGGAACTCCCAGATAAGGGATTGGTGGGGTAAGAATTAATTGATGCCACATTATGAATTTGGCCTAAAGCTCGAGCTCGACACTGGAAGTTTGAAGTTGCATTATCAGGATTAAGATCTTCAGTTTGAAGATCGGTAATGTTTTTGAACTGCTGCCAAATCAAGTCTGAATTCTTCTCAGCAACCATTTGAGCTGTTGGCCCAACCATTTGAGGTGATGACATGTTAAGCATTTGACCTAGAGCTCGACGCTGATAGTTTGAAGTCACATTATGAGGATTAAGATCTTCAGCACCTTTTCCCGAATTGTGTTCGGCAACCATTTGAGCTGTTGGCCCAACCATTTGAGATGATGCCACATTAAGAATTTGATATGGAGCTTGGCACTGAAAGTTGGAAGTTGCATTGTGAGGATTAAGATCTTCAGCACCTTTTGTGGAATTGTGCTCCGCAACCATTTGAGCTGTTGGCCCAACAAACTGCATCAAGTTTTCTTGGTATCCAATACTATTCTGCTTAGTCTACAAAGCCAGGACAAGTAATCAATATGCAAGTACATACAACTCAGACTACACAAATAAATAAGACCTTAAAGTTCAGTCCTCTTTTCTATTACAGGCCTTTGGATTGGTTGCTGTTGAATAAAGGTTCAGCTTACATGAATGTATACATGTATTTTTCTTTGAGACAATTTTTCTTTTTTATATCAGTTTGGAACAACTACTTAAGATACACCCATGAGCAGATGCTCCACTGCGTTGCACACAGACATTACTCACCTGCACAAGTTGTTTTGAGCTGCAATAGACTGTAGACTCAATTGACTCATTCGCAGTGGGGAGTGTATTCAGAGGCCTGTAGGTTTCATGTTGATCTACTTCAGAATGCTCAGAACTTCTTTCACCTCTACAGCCTGTTTATGGGAGAAATGAAGAGAGAATGAGTTCAACTATATTGAATGCTAAAAGGCACTCTCAGTGATCTTGTAAGGAGGTTATTAGCCTACAATAACCAAAACTGTAAAACTCATACAGGCACACTTGACTCATGTGCATTAATGTGTTCAATTACAAGATCATGCAGAATACTGGATAAGTCAATATCTCGAGCGAGTTAAGAGTTCTCTATTACTTTGTAATCACTTTGGCAAAATGTAAGTTCTGAAGTTGGACTTATAGGGCATGCTTATGTATCTTGTTTGGATGTAGACCTACCCTTTGAAGCCATCCCATTTGTTGACCTGTGAGAACTATTCTGAATGTTCACTTCAGTCTTAGCCCTCTTAGTGGCTCTCAGTCTTATCATGGAATGGCTACTTTCAAAGTTCTCAGGGTCATTTTTCAAAGCATCAAACAACCGCTCCGCTAGGTCTCTTATAGCACAAGCCTGAAAAACCATAAATCTCAATATAATAAGGAGAAAATGTAGATTTCAAGAGCATAAACAGTTGGCCAACCTTGATGATAACAACAGTGCTTAATGGACTTACCTGTCTATAATAGGTGGTTGTTGACAAGTTGAAAAGCATTGCGTTGTTCCATACCAAAAACACATCATGCTGTACGTTAACCAAATAATCATCAGAACTAAAGGGATAGCTTTATATACAACTATCAACATTAATCTACCAAATATTACAATCACAAATGTGATGGAAAGCAGTTTATTTCATACTCCTACAACTATAAAACTAGCATGCCTCACTAAAAAAAAATAGCATGCCAAAAACTAAATTTGGTGAGGAAACCAATGAACCAACCCAACCGCTTAAAAGTCAAAACAAACGTGCATATGTACTCAAATTTTCACCAAACATAAAAAGGGAGATGAGTATTAGATACAGAAGTCTCAAAACAAGTTCTCTTCCCAACTTTACTGAAAGGAAAAACAAGAAGTGAACCATGGAGTCTAGGAGCAAACCTCGAATTCTTCAAGTGTTCTGTAGCTTTGTCCATTGAGTTTTGCTGAAATCGTGCCGAAATCCATTGGCTCTTTAATGATATCATAGTAGTCTTTAACCTTTTACATTAAGAACTATAAATAAGCAACTATAACGGTATACATATTTGGATAGACCATAAATACAGTAGACAAACCTCTTCTGGATTTACTGCCTCTGCAAATAGATTGTGTGAGTCTCTCCTATAATTAAAGTTAAAAACAATAAGGCATTAACTTCCTTGATTAGAAATTCAATAAAGAAGAGCACAATCGCTTCTAGGAGGAAAACCAAAAAACTTCACTTCAATCAATTATAGCGTGGCTAACAACAAAAACGCAATTAGAAAAATGTCATAACCAAGTGTTTACCTTTTCAATATACCAAGCAGCAGTTCCAGCTTCCTTCTTTCTGGTAACACAGTACCAGATGACAAGGAAACTGTTTGATTTAAGACAAGAAATAATGAGTTAATGAGTCCTTGCCATCCTAACATAGATATAGTAAATTTCAATTCAAAATTTAAAGGAAAAAAATGAAACACCCTCACCGTCATTTGTACAATGGTCTTCGTTGCTCGAATTACCAGCCTGCATTTATGCCAAAAAGGAGAAGAAAAAAGAAAAAAATTGTAACACCAGTGCAAAATTATAATGAATATACCTGTCCTTTCATTCAAATAAAATAGCTCAAATATATATGAAGTATGTAGAAAAAGAATGTGGAGTGCCTACCAAAGTTTACTACTAAGAATTTATGCTTGATACAAAAAATAAAAAACTCAAAATATTCAATTAATTGTCATGACAAAGCAACAGTTCAACATTTCCACTTCCTGTTCAATAACTGTTCCAGTTTTCGCAGCCTTGTTTAGTACACACCTCTTTTTTCAGTTGATACTCAACTGTATTTGCAACCAGATCCTGGACGGGTGTACTCTTAACCTTTTTTTTTCTCTGCGTCAGGTTGGAATCTTCAGTAACAACATCCCTGGCTGCATCACATGTCACCTTGCCCTTATTCTGAGTCTTTTTTGCTTCCAGTTCAAGTATTCGTGCACTCCTACGTTCACCTCTCCACATAATTGCAATTGTTATTTGTTATTTCCACAATCACCTCTATGAGATACAAACTTCTACAATACAACGTAACTCAATTGAATGTCCCCTACTGTTCCACAAATCAAGTGATAAATATTAGCGATGAAACATGGAAAGTTCAGGAAAGCTATTAGATATTCATGTACAATATATGTAATCTTGGAAAATAAAAGTGACAGAAAAAAAAAGAAGAGAGAAACCGAAATGCCATGAGACACCACAAATAGAATTAGTTTCAGTAAAAGGGTAAAGGGTTACTGGTATATACTCAAAAATCAAGCGACAAACAATACAGAAATGTAAAGAGAAACAGAAATTGGGTGAAATCTCACATAACCATTTCTCAGCAATACTCTTTGTTTCTGAAATGGAAAATATTTTCATATTTCAGTTAAATTCTTTGAAAACCTGTTTTCATTTCATGCTAAAATGTTTTAAACGACACTTTTGTTTAGCCAAATTGAAAACAATTTTCATAGAGCTAAACTATGTCCCTGGACCTTTTAATAAGTGGGCCACATGACCACTTAAGTGCATCGTTCATCCACTGCAAAATCATATTCTCTTACATACTCTCTATCTTTGCCTTCTCTTAGATAGGAAACTATCACATCTTTCAAGAACTGATTTTCATTATAATCACCAAGCAAAAATCTGAAAATTTTCTTTAAACTGATGCTACCTGATCTTAGATTTTAAAATGCGATAGAAAAACAAATTCAAGTATCACTCAACTGAGACATGTGAGTTCCACAATAAATACGAACCAAAAAAGTAAACCCTATCATCTTACTCTGCAAAATAATTTATTAGTAATTATGTGAACTTTCATCAGCTAAATTTCTTATTAGTAATTCAATCTCCTAAAAGAAGATAGAATATTAGGCCACTTTCTATTCCAATTCTAGTAAAATACATATACTAAAAGAACAATATGCAACCTATTTATGCATTTATTAGTGCACATCATTGCAAAGCAACCACTACCACCACCATATATTTCAAATTTTCCAAAAAAAGGACAGATGAAGAAAAATATATACAGAATGATGGGCTACATATTTGTACAAAGCACAAGTTCTTGTTCCTATTTTGTATATTTCTTCATAATATTGCTAAATCAATTGAACTATTTTTTCTACAAGAAAAATTTCTAACCAATTCTTATTTTGATACCCAGAAATCCTCCAATCCCGCTTCATGGACTTGGATTTGAAACAGGGGGCCCCCGCCGAACCCTACAATCTTTGGATATTCTAATTTCTAACCAAATTAGAGTATCCAATTTCTCCCTTCTTCCGTAATTCGACTTCTCCCCTTGGGTACCAACTGTTTTACAATCTAGTAAGCAGTCGGGTGTTGGGACTTGGATCAGACGCCAAATGTATTATGACTCTGGGTTTAGCTATAATATCAAGCCAGTGTGCTTGAAGATCTGATACCAACACAATTCCTCTCTTTTTTATCACTCACAACATAGTTGGATCAGACGCCAATGTATTATTACTCTGGGTTTAGCTATAATATCAAGCCAGTGTGCTTGAGGATCTGATACCAACACAATTCCTCTTTTTGTATCACTCATAACATTATTGATGTCAATGAACTAGTTCCAAGTCTAGTACAAATCCATCAATTCTGTACCAACCACAACAAGCTTCTCAAAGTGACCAAATCTTAACACATCAATATCACAAATGGATGACAACCACAACTAAATGATAGGAGAAAATCAAATAAAGAGAAAAAGCACCATTTGATAAAAAAAAGAATAAAAAATCAATGAAGTTGATATTCCTTTGAAAAGGGCTAAAAATATTTTCTTAGTCTTATATTTTTTATTAGTATTAGCAATACTTTTCCCTTTTAGTTGGACTTGCCTACCACCAACCTACCTCGATTCAAAGCTGATATCCGTGCAACTGATCTACTAAAAATGATTAATCAGGGGTAAACCTTCAATCCCTTTCTATCCTGATGATGGCAGCAAGAAAGGGTTTTTCAATATACAAAAACATAAAAAGGCTATCTAAGAGCAATCAAAATTTGCAATTTCTCTTCTTGGATTTCTCCCATGGCCATCAAAAAACGCCAAACTGGTAAAGATCGGTGGAAGTAGTGACAGAAGGCAGAATGCAAGACTCACATTCAAAAAAGACATTCAAAAAAGAAAAGCAATAGAACATTACCAATTGCATCTCCTTCAAGCAACCGAGCAGTGAAAACATTTACAGGACCTCCGCCTCCATAATGTCAATCCCGACTGATGCTCCAATAGAGCACTATTAACCCTAAGAAGGCCATTTATAAAGTAACTTAATAAATTTCACCCATTTAAGGTAATCTTGGTGGATTTACTTAGACATGAGCACATAATGACAAGGACGGGCCTCCCAGTGCATGAAGAGATTAGCCTGAAAATTGTGTTCTGGAGAACAAATGGAGCGGCGTTGGCCCCATCTGGCAAAACACTAATGGTTAAGTAAAAATGCATGGTTAAAACCAAAATTTAATACTTAGACTCAAATTTACTTTTGTGAACTGTGGTAACCAAAGTGATTGAAATAAATAAGAGCTTTATTTTTCTGATAAAAATGTAAAAATAAAAATAAAACAAGGAGTTATAAATTATAACTTCGTCTCATTTCCATATGTGTTTCTGACTTCATTTTGCCGAAGCCTTTATAAAGCAAATTTTCACTATTATGGCAACTAGTAAGTAAGTCTCTTGATGAAAGAATTCAAAGAAAAACACATTTCTAGCTTAGATATGATGTATGAATAATGTGGCATCCTCTATAACATTGTTGGAGTAAATTAGTAAATGAAACACTTGATGACCGCCAACCAACTCCTGTGTATTTCCCAAAATATTTCAATCTTAAGAGTTTAGAACTAATAGACTATCAGTTTTTAAGAAGCTCTTGATTATACCACAGCACTTTCTCCATATATGCAGGTATACCACCACCTAGCTCATGACATATCTATTTTTTGTGATCATATCTTGGCCTCAATTCTTTGAACGAGCAATTCATTTTTAATAAGGCTTGTCCATTTGGTATATACTATAATCAAACAATAAGAAACAATTCATGAAGCTCAAGATTAAGTACGTCAGTTTTTCTGTTTTTTTTTTTAAAGAACAACACTTCAATAATGACCCTTCTAATGAAAAAGCAGTGACAGAGGTAGAGCTATGTCCAAAAACAATAAAATGCAGAAGCAGACATACCAATATCCGCTTCTTCAACCATTGGACATCCATTTATGGTACTCTGAAACAATGCCAATAGCCTTCGACCCTGGATTATTGGAACCCATGTGCTCAAGAAGATTTCTGGCATCATCATCAACTTTCACTGCAAAAATAAAAAGTCGAGCACTTATAGAAACTTGTCTATGGTAAAAATGAATGTATACGCATGAAAGATAGAGGGACCAAAAAAAGAATTCGGGGGTTGTCTTACAAAGATTCACTCTCACAATTACGACGAGCCCAGAATTCTTGGACCCAGATAACTAACTGATAAAAAGTTTTTGCAGTTTCTCCCAAGTTCTATTTTTTGGGAAAATTCCTGTGTTTCTTTGTTTGGAGGGAGGCTTGAGGGCCCCAAAAGTCCATACATTTGATGGGTCACTGTGACCTCCTCCTTCTGCGTCTGACTCTGAAGCCATTTTCATCTGTGAAGTAAAAGAGGATGGTGCTAAACCGCTGCTACACCTTTCATCTCTGTAGATTTCAGGAAACATACTGAAGGAGGAAGATGGAGAGAAGCGTATGTAGAATCGCGGTTTGCAAATGGTGTCTTCTCAACAGTCTAATGTGATGTTTCTCATAAATTTGGTACGAGTTCTTCAAGTTTTCCTCATTTTTTATTTACCCTTTTTTTTCTTTTTCGGTGTAGATTCTCCTATTTTGATATGAATCTTTCAATTTCTGAATTGTTTATTTGGTTAAAACATGATTATTGATTTTAAAAATTCATTTATTTTCTATGTATGCATCAAATAACAAAGATAACATCAAATAATATTAAAACAAATTATTTATAAAATAATTTTAAAAAAAGCTTTGTTTACATTCCAATATCCCAAATTTGGCAAACATGACATACATATAACTCGAACAATAATAGACACCTAGCTAGCTACTTGAATGATTTTGGACTTGTTTCTATCTGTCAAGAACAGATTTTTGAATGAGGATATGTACACCATTTCCAGGCCCTACTATCATTTTATAAGCAGGAGAATGCTTATATTTGGGAGACAGAGAGAAAGAGAACTTGGAGATAACAAGGGAGAGCACAACTTTCAATTCAACCATGGCAAAGTTTTTGCCCAAACATATTCGAGGCCCCAACCCAAATGGGATGTAGGCTTGGGGAGACTTGCAAGCTTTAGACACACCATCTATGAACCTCTCAGGCTTGAATTCATTTGCATCAGGTCCCCAAATTTCTGTATCTCTGTGCAATGTTGGGATCAAAGTCCATAAGCATACCCCTTTAGGAACACTGATGTTTCCCACTTGGGTATCTTCAAGTGCCTCCCTTGACACAAAGGCAGCCGGCGGGTACAAACGCAAGACTTCTTGAATTACCATAGCCATCTGCAAGGGTGTATGCATGTATGCAGGGTTACGTCGAAGACTTATACTCAAACGGGAAATGTTATGTTGCTAGACAAGATAGTCTAGCATGTTACGTTTTCAGATATTGTTGGTTTTAATAAAGTAGTTTTGTTCGAATGTGTAGTGACAACACAATTTGGCATCAGAAAAGTACCCTATACCCTACATCCAACAAAATTATAATGTACATACAGATTGATGCAAGAACTTGTACCGTTTTCAATTGAGGGAGTGAGTTTGCATCTGGGAGGCCATCTGGGCAAACTTGAGCCAACTCCGTCCTAATTCGAGCTTGCCACTCGGGATGTAGAGCAAGCAGCATCATACACCAAGAGGCAGCAACAGCTGTGGATTCATGGCCTGCAAAGTATATGCTCTTGCAGTTGTCAACTATGAAGCGCTTGGATGAACCTTTGCCTAAGCTTTGGTCATTGATGGCTCCCTCTAGTATTGTCTGCAACAGATCCTTTTCGGCTGAAGATGTCTCTGAGCCTTGTCTTTCTCTCACTGCCTCCCAGATCAACGACTCTATCTCTCTCTCTAAGCACCCTATCTCATTTTGCTTCTTCAAGCCACTGCATTATAATTAGCCATTAATAAAAAAAACATTTAACACAGCCAAAGTACATTGTTAACTAGTGTTAAACTTGCATACCCCAAATTAGAAAACAGGAAATTTTGCTGGGAAATGACTTCTTGAAGGGCTCTAAGCTTTGAGAAAATCTGTTTGCCCTTTATATAAGAGCTTCCAAAACAAGCTCTTGATATAACATCTGCAGAAAAATCCCTGAAATCCTCATCGACTTGAATCTCTGCTGTCATGCCACCTTGAGCTTCAATGCAATCCTCCCATTTTTGAAGCAATGTCTGTCCTGACTCTAACATCAGCCACACCATGCCCTGCCACAAAATTATCAATTAATTTCTCTCAATTAAAGTTGTTTCGCAAATTTTTGGACCAATTTTAATTTTTAATTAATTATTTACCTTGACTTTGTCTGTGAAGAACTCAGGGGCAATGATTTTTCTCTGTTGTGACCAGACAATGCCATTGGACCTCAAAACGCCATTGCCAAGCATGGGTGCAAGCCTCTTGCTTACATAAGAAGGCTTGCCTAAATCCAAACTCATGCACTGGTTCATTTCCCTTACTAGCTCTGGCTGGTTCACATACAAATGTTGTCTCATACCTGTTGAGTAGGTGTATATTTGACCTGCAACACATTCATAAATATGACTATAAGCGATAGTCTAAATTATAAGGCGAAGGGACCCAGACACACTACAAGTGCTGTATGGTTCGAATATGATACCACTGGTCTACAAGTCAAGACCCTTTTTCATTGGATTAGATCTCGTGATAAGTTTTTTTTAAAAATACACACACAAATGAAGCCCATTCTATTGTTTTGATTATATGATGGGCCTAACTGGGTCAGCTATAGTTTTGGACTTTTGAGTCTAATCTGCCCAAACCCAACAACTGCTACTGGAGTCTATCAATCAAATTTTTTAAAAAAAATTATGGGATGGGTCACCATTATAATAATTAATAATGATTTCCCCATTCCCAATTTGACCACTTACATTCTTTTTTCAGTTATAAAATAGAGTTTAAATGGAATGGGTGCAAGCCTCTTGCTTACATAAGAAGGCTTGCCTAAATCCAAACTCATGCACTGGTTCATTTCCCTTACTAGCTCTGGCTGGTTCACATACAAATGTTGTCTCATACCTGTTGAGTAGGTGTATATTTGACCTGCAACACATTCATAAATATGACTATAAGCGATAGTCTAAATTATAAGGCGAAGGGACCCAGACACACTACAAGTGCTGTATGGTTCGAATATGATACCACTGGTCTACAAGTCAAGACCCTTTTTCATTGGGTTAGATCTCGTGATAAGTTTTTTTTAAAAATACACACACAAATGAAGCCCATTCTATTGTTTTGATTATATGATGGGCCTAACTGGGTCAGCTATAGTTTTGGACTTTTGAGTCTAATCTGCCCAAACCCAACAACTGCTACTGGAGTCTATCAATCAAATTTTTTTAAAAAAAATTATGGGATGGGTCACCATTATAATAATTAATAACGATTTCCCCATTCCCAATTTGACCACTTACATTCTTTTTTCAGTTATAAAATAGAATTTAAATGGACAAAATTGAAGTGGGAAAATCACCACACTAACTCTTAATTAATCTTCATCTAAAAATTTAAAACATAATGCATGTTTCATTAAAATATTGTGTATCTTCACACTTCTAAAGAATAATATTTATTTTTTGTGTTAGATTATCAATCATAACCACATCATCAATTCTATATTATATGCGGCCCTCCCATGTTCCAATCATCATATAGTCTTATAAAAATTTATTTATTTATTTTTTGTTAGTTTGAAATATCATTAAAAGTAGTCGTTGTCTTGCCACCTCTCACATATTAAATTGTACTACTTAATTATATTAATTGCAAATTGGCCTGAGACTTTGACATGGCTTACCTTAAGTACATATTTAACTAATTAAACTCGAGAATCCAAGCATCTGAACACATTTCTATTAGCCAAGATTCTGCCCAATCCCATTGACTGAGCTGGAAAAAGTTCACCCCCCCCACACCCCCCTCTTCCTCTCTCTCTCTCTCTCCCAAGAAAGCCAAGAAAAATCAAATTCCTATCAACTCTTTTTTCCCTTCGTTTCTGTTTCAGATTTCTATCCATTTTTGCTGGCCAAAAACGTTTTGCCAACTTTCCAAATCACACTGTTTATATGTAATATGTGTACATGTGTGTGTGTGAATAAATATATATAACATGCCATGAGAAATATTAAAAAGAAGTAAAAAAAAAGAGGGAGAGAAAAAAAGGATTAAAAATTGATACCATATTGTTTTCTCCAGTGTTCAAAGTAGGGGAAGAGTGTGGAGGTGTAGTCATGGGCTACAAACTCAGAGTGGTTTGGAGTGTTGGGGAGTTGTTGGATTTTCTGCATCTCAGGCAGATTCCCATATAGAAAAGAAGGCGTAGGGCCTTTGATGCCTTGCACTCGGAGCTTTCTTCTGAGCCTCTCGGACTTTAGCCACACTGTGTTGTAGAGGTGAAGTAAGAAGCCAACCAGTCCCGCGGCAGCCAGGGAAGAAAGGAGTTTCAACACAAAAGAGACCTCCATCTCTCTCTCTCTCTCTCTCTCTCTCTCTCTCTCTCTCTCTTTTAGTCTTCACTGGTTTTTCTTGTAGCTATCTGTTAGTCATATGATATATATAGACTACATTGAGTAACCCGTGCTTTTACATGAAACGGTACAAAATAGAATAGGTTCGCAGCATAACATGCCAGACTGTGTGACATGATAACATTATCAAAGTTACTTGCGGACAAATCAATCAAACGTAAGTAGAGATAATGCTACATTTACCAAATTTATTCTCGAGATGATTGTCACTCTTTCATTGATTCAAATATGGACCCATTCTGAATCTCTCGTTCTTATTTTTGACAAGTTAGATATTGACATATATATTAAACTAGCACATAATTGAATGATATTTGGTATACAAATTGATATGTCTAGCATTATTGATAAAAGATACTGTACACAAATAAATATATACGCGTGTAGCTTTGCGTGTATTAAGGCTGAAAGATTTACTATAATTAGGGGGAGGTCAAGAGAGAGGAGGGAGGAGGACCCATTTCGGCTAAAAGTTCTATAATATTAGTGTGAATGGTTTAACATTACTGCAACAAACCCACGTTTAACACCTGTTATATAAATATGAGATGATTTTGACATGCCAAATTTTCATCTCACCAACTTCTTCATAAGGTAATTTAAAGGTGAGTTTGAAGTGTCAAAATCATCACCTTTTAAATATTGTGTGACGGTGAAATTGGATGAAATAGATCTATCTAAGACAATGACATTATTAATTAATCGTAGTTGAATATATAAATTGGCGAGTCGGGGATCAAGAGAGTTAAATAGGGTGTTGACGATCATTTCCCCTATATTTTTCTATACATATATAATGCAATATGCACAAGTTTTCTACCAAAAAAGAGAAAGATAGAAGAGGCGGCCAAGAAAGGCAGGCATATACATATGCTTTAAGCTTATGCTTTGCTATATATGAAGAGTTCTTATCTCAAAAACTAATCCATCTACAAGCAATATATATATATATATACGTGAAGTGCATGAACGTGGGTTCTATAATATAATATCTTTCATCAGTTCATCAAAAGTGCATGAACCATATATTTGATCAAATTGGGTGGCCAATGTGAAATGTTGACTTTGTGACAAATTGATCAAAAGTAAATTCTCTCTTACTATGTATTTGGACTAAATGTGTTGAGGGTAAAAGAACAAGCACATGAACATGAGCAGGGGGTTCTAGTAACATTAAGAAATACAAGTGGACAAAATTACGAACACTAACCTTGTAAAAGAAATTGTATTTTAATACAAAGTGATGGTTTAAAACTATTCTAATTTACAATAAGGAGATCCGAACTTAAGTGTAAAAGGACAGACTGATTGTTGTGGCCGACTGACCTAAAGTACAATGCAACAGTAACTTAATTTTGATTAGCAATATATAAGAGTGTCTTAATCTGCAGAAACTCATAATTCAATATATATTGCAGGGAATATGAAAGGAAAAGATGAGATGGTGATTGGAGAAGGTGGGGTGGTATAATTCAATATGTCGACAATCTGGGTCAAACTAGGGTTTGATGCTGTCAGTGGCACAGGACGATGAGCCAGTAATCTAGCGAGCTAATAGAGTTAGGAGACGGTCCCTCTCTCTCTCTCTTTCTCTCTGAGGACGATGAATTGAATTTTGGGGTCCCAAAATTCACAAAAAGAAAAAGATCCTCAATCTTCCTTCTTACATACTTAGGACCACTTCAGTTTCTCTCAATAATCTGCTGGACCACCGATGTGACTAAACTTCCATTATTTATTTTATTTATTGTTATGTACAACTAATCTGTGTTTGAAAGGCTTTGAAACGATCTTCTTGTCATTGAAATTGAACTGTCAGGACGTCACAAGATGGCGAGGCTTATATACTTATTATACCCCAATTGCACTTGCTGCCTTGGCTTTGCATAATCGTGTGGTGCGCATAAACAAGACTTTCCCAAAGCCAAGATTTGAAAAAACAAAATAAAACACTAGCTAACTCTTCTTCTCTGTTAAGCTAAAGTCAGTCGCGCATGCGCTTGAGGTGATTTTGGCCGTTGATGCATGTGGGGTTAACGAAGCATCAACAGTCAAATCATCCATGCGCGGGAGACTGTTAGCCAATGGCTATTGGCTCTAGGACAATTATAGGATGCTTCAATCTTTATGCATTATTGAGTGCATGTAGAAAGTGAGAATAGGACCGCGCCGTCCTTGAAACATAGGATTGTGGGGATGAAAAAAATCTGAAAATGCCCCATAAGGGTACCCATAGTTGTCCAGCAGACAGATTGGGGTTCTTGTTGAATTAGGTAGTCTTCCACTTTCAAGACAAGAGGTCCAGACTCCAGCTATAGCTAGCCTCATTCCACTTCTTGTGAACAATTGTGAGCCATACAACCTTCAAAGAGAGAGAATGGTGAGGGATCCACCACCTTCCAAAGCACACAGAACTTAGCTCAGTGAACTGAATGGTCAGTTCGCCAGGTTAAACTTATGTGAGCTAAGGCCAATGGAAATATGGAATCTGGCTATGTCCACCGGATAAAGTGGAGTACTTGTTGAGATTATATTTCACATCGAGAATGAAAAAGAATGTGTCGCATCGATACTGTTGTACGCATTTCATTTCATTACTAATTTAGTTTTGAGTTTGAATCTCTAACTTTTTGTTTTTGATGAAAGAATCTCTAACTTTTACACTATACCAAAATATACGTATTCTTATATCACCAAATATATGGAGAATGTAAGGTATTTGTAGGTTTTGCTAAAGTCCCATCGGTAAAAGTCTTAAAGAGACGCCAATGGGTTCCCACCACAGTGGACCAGTGATGGTGGATTCTCCTTTCCCCATGGTGCCCAGAATCAAATCCCAATGAGGTTTCTTTCCTCCAATGTAACATAAAAAGAAGAAACTATAAGAACATTTCTCGTGGAGGATCTAGCAATTTTTCTTCTTAATGCCGGCACATCATGTTACCTAGTTTAGCTTCGTACCATACCATGTCTTAACCTATTTTAGAAATTTTATCGAACATCTTACCCATGCTCAAGGAGCACATCAAAGGAACATTGCCCAATTTCACCTCTAGTAATATTGAAAAGTGAGGGCAGTTGCATGCACTGGCCCTGTTGTGAACAATCAGTTTTCCAACAAAAGAAAAGAGTAAAAATAAAAAGAATGGTGGTCCGCTGGTCCAGCCAGGCAGTGGACGGTCTTGATTAAATTGTAGAATATAATACTTTTTGTTTACCAAAAGAAAAACCAATTTCTAGTTGGGCTATGAGTGCTTTATTTGGTAGCCTTGTACAGCAAAATTGTTTAAACCCAACTAGGCCCAAAATTTCTGTCTAGCTCCTGAGCCTAATTTCATTTGAAAGCCCAATAATCCACCGTCGAGAGTTGCCGTCAATTTTCCAAAGAGATTTTTGAAAATGGATCAGAGCTAGAGAGAAGAGACACTCGTCATCCCAATCCGACAACAAAATCTCCCTCTCCGTCACAAAGTTTGAGCTTTGAGTGCTCCATATACAGAGGAAGAGGGAGAGACGCCGTGTTTTCTCTGAAATTAGAGGTGTGTAGGTATCTCTGCAGCTAAAGCCTTAGGCTTTTCCTCCCCAATTCGCTTTCTCAGAGTTTAGGGTTTATGCGATGCGATGCTACAGAAGATCACAAATTGTGTAATTGAAAAGGAAGACGAGTAGTAAAATATGTGTTACGGTCTGGTTCTAAGTCTGAAGTGAGTGTATTGGGTTTTTCTGAGAGGAATTAATGGAAGGGGGAAGGAGAATATCGGCAAGTCCTCGGCCTTGCAATGGTAGGAGGGTGGTAGCGAAGAAACGTCCTCGTGTTGGTGGCGTGGATGGGTTCGTCAACAGCGTTAAGAAGCTTCAGAGGCGCGAAATCAGCTCCAAGCGTGACCGTGCTTTCACTATGAGCGATGCCCAAGAGAGGTTTCGCAATATTCGTCTCCAGGTACTGCTCTTTCTTTTTATTTTTTTATTGAAGGAAAGTTTGGGGCTTTGATGCTTGTTTACCTCTTCTGCGTACTTAGGTAGTTGTGGTTAGCTCTAGCACTTGTACTGATTTTCATTAAGTTCAAAAACCAAAGATAAATAATGGGTTTTGTTGCTAAATTATTAGGATGATAGATCCTCTCACAGAAAATTGAAAAAGATGGGACTCTGTTGTCAATTATTGTCGTGCATTCCTTAATTTTGTTCAGTCCTTCTATTCACTGTTAAGAAATGTGAGCTCAATAGCTCGATTGTTACTTTTTCAAGCTCCCTAGAGACAAAAAATAGAATATTTCTTACTCCAAAAACTAAGGTAAGCTGAAATCCCCCCCTATTGTTAATTTGTGGGTGTTAGGAGCACTAAGTGGCGTTCAGTTAGCATTATGCTTCGGTCTTCAGTTAGTTGTTCCTGTTTAATTTGAACATGGGGCCTTTATACTTGTGATGCCGCTATTTTCAAATTCTTAGTGCTACGAACCTGTCATAGGCTCTACTTATACGATATGCATTTGGATCCCATTTCATATTACTAATGGAAACACTTGAAAGCATGTTGTGTAATAAAGCTCATATGCAACAATACTGTAAGAAAGTTGTAAGTTTCAAGATTGGAGTTTCGATTTGTGCAGTCACGTTGTCTCATGTTCCTGAGTAAAAACTGTATTTGTTTCTGCTAACAATCAATACTGAAAATCTTAATGGATTTAATATTGCGATGAATATGGAGTTATGCACTACACATGCTTTTGAAATATGAGTGAAAAGATTCCTCACTGACGATGCTAGTGTGCCTGCAATACCTAATTTCTGATTCTGGTGATATTTAAATGCATAGGAGGAATATGATACGCATGATCCAAAAGGTCACTGTGCCATGGTTCTGCCTTTCTTGCGAAAGAGGTCAAAAATTATTGAGATTGTAGCAGCGCGTGACATTGTGTTTGCTCTTGCGCAATCTGGTGTTTGTGCAGCATTTAGCCGAGGTAGTAGCAGTAATATTTTTATTTCTAATCTTACCCTGCATGCACCAGTCTTATTACTTATAAAAGTTGAATGAGCGGAATATGTAATGTTTTTATTTTGTTGGATGCAGAAACCAACCAGAGAATATGCTTTCTGAATGTCAGTCCCGATGAAGTGATAAGAAGCTTGTTTTATAACAAAAACAATGACTCACTTATCACTGTTTCAGTTTATGCTTCAGACAATTTCAGTTCCTTGAAATGCAGAAGCACTAGGATTGAGTACGTAAATTCCTCCACCCCCCCTCCTCTTCTCCTCCCATACACGTGACACAACCCCCCCAAAAAGCCCAAAAGAAACAACAGTGTAATTGTCCCATTTTTTATATTTTTTTTCTGAAACTGTCAAATTTTGTTGTCCAGATACATACGAAGAGGTAAACCAGATGCTGGCTTTGCTCTTTTTGAATCAGAGTCACTGAAATGGCCTGGTTTTGTAGAGTTCGATGATGTAAATGGGAAGGTTCTCACTTATTCTGCACAGGATAAGTAAATATTCTGTCTTATTGGTCTTCATTTCAAATACACAATTATCTTCTTGATCTTGATTTACTTTCTTTTTGGTTCTATTTTATTATCAGCATATACAAGGTGTTTGATCTGAAAAACTACACCATGTTGTACTCCATATCAGATAAGCATGTCCAAGAAATTAAGATTAGGTAAGCTTTCTTCACATGCCTCCTTTTCTTAAATAGTGCGTCTGCAGACACACACACACACACACACTGGTGTTGGCATTTACATTTGGTATTTTCTTTTGCTATTGTTTAGTGGACATTTATTTTGCTTCTCTTTTTCCAACTTTCTTTTGCAGTCCTGGAATCATGCTGTTAATTTTTACTAAAGCTAGTAGCCACGTTCCTCTTAAGATCCTGTCCATAGAGGATGGTACTGTTCTCAAATCCTTCAACCATCTCCTTCATCGGAATAAGAAGGTGGATTTCATCGAACAGTTCAATGAAAAGCTTCTTGTAAAGCAAGAAAATGAGAACCTCCAAATTCTTGATGTGAGGATCTTTCTGTATATCTTGCTGATGTATTATTATTAAATCATTTGGATTTGTATGTCTGACTGCTACATCTGTAGGTTCGTAATTTTGAGCTGACAGAAGTTAGCAGAACTGAGTTCATGACACCATCAGCCTTTATATTTCTGTATGAGAATCAGCTATTCCTGACGTTTCGAAATCGAACTGTGGCTGTTTGGAATTTTCGAGGAGAACTTGTAACTTCTTTTGAGGATCATCTTTTGTGGCATCCCGACTGCAATACCAATAACATATACATTACTAGTGACCAGGATCTTATTATTTCTTACTGCAAGGCTGATTCTGATGATCCATTATCTGAAGGAAATGGTAAATATTGTTTCCTTATATCTCTTACAATATTATAAGTTGGAGAATCCTTTCTGTGAGAAGGCGTTGGTTTTCTGACAGTGTTTGCATCTCTATTGCAGCAGGTTCCATCAATATCAGCAATATTTTAACTGGGAAATGCCTTGCTAAAATAAGAGCAAGCAACAACAAGGAAATTGAATGCAGCTGTAGTGGTAAGTGTTGTGGCAGCAGCTGCAATTCGAAGAAGCGGGCCCTTTCATCCAGAATTAGAAGTACAGTTGCAGAAGCCTTGGAAGATATTACTGCTCTCTTCTATGATGAAGAGCGGAACGAGATCTACACGGGCAATAGGCTTGGTCTAGTTCATGTATGGTCTAACTAATGGTTTCATCAATCAGTTTGTTCACCATGTATGCACACCCCCCTGGGCCATGCCCCCCCCCCAATTAGATTCTTTGTTGGTCTTCTAGATGGTTGAATTGATTGTGCTGCCTGCCCCCACTGCAACGACTTCCTAGAACAACTGTACCATGAATTGCCCTTGTACAATTAATCCCTCTGTTTACCTAAATCCGAATTCCTTCCTTGTTGTGTCTTGTCTGTGTTGAGCGTGAAAACTTATTTATAGAGTGTCTTTTTCATGGTGGTGTAATATAAATGTAGAATTGAGTTTGTCTCTGTACGAATCTTTGTTTATTTTTATATATTTATTTATATATCTAATTCGCAGCATGGTAAATTGTTGTTTGCCATTTTCATCCAGCTTAACTGCACTCTTTATGTCTTACCCTATTTTCTTCAACAATTATTGTTGCTATTGATGGAGCTGTAAATGGTGGAAGTGGAATTGGTGTGACCACATGCGCATGTACAACCTTTTATACCCTTTTTATGGGGCTAGGCTTCTTTTTAGCCCACCTCACTCCGACTCTGATAATAAAGTCAGAGTTCGTGTGAACACTTTACCTTGATTGGAAGGCTCGCAATACCTTGCCACCATTAATCATCATGGATCATACATATCATATAAGGCGGGCATGAGTGGAGGTGACAGCTTTACGATTTGGTAACCTCCGATCCCTTTGTGCAGCAGCTTGTGCTGCTTCTGCCTCACCATTCAATTATAGCAAATTATAGGTGTCCTCTTCTGCTTCTCCTTCCCATTGATCATTGTATGCTCGTTGATGCAAGTGGAACTTACAATGAATCAACGTTTAGAATTTGTCCACCTAATTTGACAACAATTCCTACCCATTTGATGCATTTCACAATTTCTATCCGTTGATACGAGAATTATATGCACGCGTGGGGGGCCACTGATTGGTAGCAAAATAAATTTATAGTAATATGACATGATATGCGCTATAATTTGAGACAAGAGATGAGATGACAATATGGATGAGATTTGTTAACCGTTTCGTCTTGTTAAAGACAAGCTAGACGAACCAACATATATAAATTTGCCTTTGGAAACTACTGCCTCTGTCATTTTGGTCCTTCAATTTTTCTTAAGCAACACGACACGAGCATGTGATATGGGAATAATCAAACAAGTGGCGGTTGCTTTTGGAACCCAAAAACTAGAAAAGGAAAAACTTGCAGACAAAGAGAAGATGGAGGAGAGCGTCTGAATCACGCGAGTGGAGTAGAGTGGAGGACATCTATACCTTCCACAAAGATCTTTTTTTCTTTTTTCCCGTTTGGTAAACCACATACATGTGTTTTAATCAACCCGGTACGATTAAGGAATCTTCGTCATACATATGTTATAATTAAAAGAGTTTATTTATTAATATAAATAATAGTTTAAATATGTCTAACTTATCTAATTCACATATGCGTCGTTTTGTTCGATAAATATGAATTACTAAATTTCAATTAAAAAAAGAAGACACAGAATAACTCTTTAGATTTAGAAAATAAACATTTGTGAATATGACATATCTAGATTGGGAGTGTTGTAAAAATAAATAAAAATAGAAAAAAAGGAAAAATTGTGTTGCGGTGTATAAAGTGGCTGTAACGCAATCAAGGCGGTGGCTTTTAGCTTTCTCTGTAGTCTTAAATTAGTGTAGAGACTAGAGAGAGTAGAAGTAGCCGTGGCTGCTATTATACTGAGACGACTTTGCTTGTTTCTTCTCACTCTCCTTCTTCTTCCTGCATTTCGCCATTTGAGCTCTCTCTATCACTCACTCACTCACTCGCACTGGCAGATCTCTCAGGCTAAGGTAAACATTGCCTCTTTTGAGTTTGCAGCATCTACTCGCTCACTCACTTGCTTGATTTTGCGCTTTTATTTATTTTCTGGTTACGAACTTACTATTCTAATTCTAAACTTGTTGCTTTGGTTTTCAAATCATTGAAATGAGAATCGAGCAATTTTATTCAATCTTTGTGAAATTATTATTATTATTATTATTATCTATTAGCTTCTTTTTAAATTTTGTTTTATTTTGAGATTTGTTTTTATGGTGGACCATTGAGAGTTGGATGATTTGTTTGCTACTTTGCTGCGTGTTGAGCATGTCATTGGCTGATTCGGTTCTCAATTTTCTATTTCGATGCTGAGACAGGGCTTTCATTTTCTAGATCTGCATTCATTTTTTTTGTTTCAGCTGAATTTCGACCAAGAAGATCTTTTAGCTGAATCTGAATTTTCAATGACTAATTTTTCTGTATCTTTTCTTGAGCAACTATCTTATATTTTTGTAGAGTTGATATGAATAAGCAATGTAGCAAGCAACTGTGCTTGCATTTGTGAGAAAGAGGGAACGATGCTCTCATGGTCTTTTTGTTTTTCAGTTCTTTTTTTGGTTCAATTTTTTTATATTCAGCTGTCGGTGCGCCTATGAGAATAGTATAAATTCTTTACTTTATAGAAACCTGGGCGCACTCTCCTTCTCTCTACTTAGTCAAAGGTCACTGATTGTTACTATCTTTTTTGTTTCTCGTTTTCTCCCTAAATTATTTCCCCCCTTTTTTTCCCATTCAGGTTGCTTTGCTTCTGTTGTAAGCGCATTGAAAATGGAGGCTGAAATAGATGCTGATACACCTTTAGACTATGCTGAATTTCAGATTTTTCCATCCCAGAACAGGTTATTCTTCAGTTGTATTGACTTATTGGCATCTTATTCTTTCTGTATGTATTGAACATTAAGAAACGTTTAATGTTGATTTTAATTAGAACGGGGTTAATGCTGAAATTCAAATTAAACAACTTCATAACTAAACTAGGGTCATTTTGAGATAAGATTCAATCAACATATCCATGAAACCAATGAATAGCTATGTTTTATTTGGTATTTCCTTTTATTTCTGATTTGCTTCGCTAAAATGCTGGCGGATGCTCTAGGTATGAGGCGCTTGTTTCCGGTGATGGAGAAGTAGAAAAGTTAGCAGGCGGGCCACTAGAGCCACTGTTGCCTCATTTACCAGAACTAAATGAATTGTACTGTAAGGGGTCAAATGCTAACCTCAAACTTCAAGTTCCGGAAAGCCTGCATGGTGCAGCCTGGTTCACGAAATCAACTTTAACCAGGTTTTAAACATTCTAGTGTTTCCTTTTTTTTGTCCCTTTGTCTTCAGTTTATTATATTTCCCACTACAACAATTCCTATAATTGTTCAGTTGTGAAATCATCTCTTTGTTTATTCATTTTAATTTTCTATTTCCTGATACATAAATTGTTTTAATTCTTCTCAGATTCCTGCAAATTGCTGGTTCACCAGACGTAATGCAAACCATTACTGCTATTGAAAATGAAATATCTCAACTGGAAGAAGCCAAAAAGTTTCATGTTTCTTTATATGGCCAGGTCCCCTTCCCCTTCTTTCAAAATTGATGTTTAAATTTGTATGGTTTAATAACTATTCTGTTATCTGGCAACTAATGTGTATGATTTCTTGTCAACAGTCTGAAGTTGAGATTGCATCACCAGATGCTTCAAAGTATGTCCTTTTTATTGTTCATTTGAGATTTCATTTGAGTTGCATCAGCATGAAACTATAGGAATTTGTGCTGTCAGGAACGAACTTTTGCGGGCTTTGGACTTGAGGCTCACAGCATTAAAAAAGGAATTAACTGGAGCCATTAACAAGGCTTCTCATGCCTCCTGCTCCTCTAAAGAGATCACAAATTTAGCAGACTTTTCTCAACATTTTGGAACCAGAGATTTCAGGTAAGATGCTAACCTAGATAGATGTAAGGTCACTGGTATTTTAGCTTCCTAGTTGCTTTGAAAGAATCTTTATGTACACGTATGTAATGTTCCTTTTCCTCTATAGTTTTAGTGAAGGTCTGTTTGCTAAATGTTCATACAAAAGGAATATCACTGTAAATGCAGGAATTCTCTGTGCAAGTTTTTAGAACAGTTTCAAGAAAGCAAGAGTGGTGATCCTCCAAATGATGACAAGTTGTCCTCTACATGCCATTTTAGAAACGACAATGTTGATGGGACGGATGGGCGTGCTCAGATATCAAAACCAATACATTCCGCTACACCAGTAAAATATAGTGTTTCACCTGCAAAAGCTGCCCTGGTTGAACGACAGAGTTCAACAGAAAGCGGGGAGTCTTCTGAATCAAGTGATGAGGACCAAACATCTGCAGAAAGAAGTCGGAGTCTTATGAGAAGTGCAACACCAAGAAGGTCAGCATCTCCAATGAGGAGGATTCAAATAGGGAGAACTGGATCTCGCAGGGCTGCTGCATTAACCATTAAGAGCCTCAATTATTATCCTTCTCGGGAAAAACCTTTTTCTAATGAAGAGGGTGAATCTGAACACTCAAATAAGAAAACTGAGTATAATGCACGAAGGATGAGTGTTCAAGATGCAATAAGTCTTTTCGAAAGCAAACAAAGAGATCAATCTGCAGATGCTCAAAAAAGGAGCTTGTTAACAAATATCTCTTTGAGTACAAATAAATCCGTATTGAGAAGATGGAGTTCAGGTTTGGGGGAGGCTTCCTCTCAATGCCAATCAGAAATTGTCTCTGAAGACTGCGCTCCAGTGACTCACAGCAATGTAGCAAATGGTGAGACTCCAACATGTTCAGAAGAAGTGAAATCAGAGTCTGATCTTTTACCTGCAGGTGAAAGTACTATTCAAACTCCTAAACTTGATGGTAACGAAGAAAGGTTTGAGAAAAATTCTTCTAGTCCAATTGATGCTCAAGACACTAACGTAACTCAGGGAGAGAAAAGTATTCAAAAATCAACAGCATCAATTGAATGGAGCCGAGAAAGAGAAGCAGAGTTGAACCAGATGCTGATGAAAATGATGGAACGTAAGCCTTCTAAGTCTACAAAGCCTCAAGCTAGCAGAAATCAAAGTGTTCCTTCTGAGCAGAGAGGTGGCTTTTATGACCACTACAAGGAGAAGAGAGATGAAAAACTACGAGGAGAGAATTCTAGAAAGCGAGCAGAGAAAGAAGAACAAATCAAAGCCATGCAGCGAATTCTTGATGAAAGGAAAGCTGAAATGTCGTCTAAAAAGGCGAATGATACTGATAAGAAACATGCGACGCGGAAGCCCCAAAAACCACTTGGAAAAGTATCTCAACCTGCAAACCTCAAAAAGGAAACTTCAAAACCTTCTGTTACAAAGAAGGCTTTGCCTAGAACATCACCCTTGCCTGCTACACGCAAGTCGTGGCCATCGACACCGACACCAAGAGCCACAGGGGCATCACCAGCTAAAACTCCTGTTGGGGTTTCTTCTGCCAGCACTACCCCAACTCGTCAAAAACCCAAGCCAACACTGCCCACCTCTAAAGTGGAAAGATCCCAGCCGCGACAGAGGAATGTGAAGGAATCCTTGATTACTCATGACAGGAGCTTGAAGGGAGTGAATGAGAAGCAGCAGCAAGCAGTGAAAAAGAATGCTAAAACAACAAAACCTAAAGTGGTGGCAACCTCTGGTGATTTTTCTGATATAATTCCAGCAAAGCACAACAAGGTCACCAAGAAAAGCAGTGTAGTGCCGGTGGAATCGAAACCATTTCTTCGCAAGGGTTCTAGAACTAGCCCTGGTGTCGGTCCTGTTGTTAACAAGACGAAAAGTTCTTCTCAATCAGAGGAATCTTTGAGAAACAGCAGAAATCTGATTGAAACTCAAGAAGTTGAGGTAACTGGTAGTGCTTCTGGCCCTGTGACTGCGAGTCAGCCTGAAGAGCCAGATATTATGTCAGTCAGCTTTTCAAATGATGCTGTAGAATCAGAAGCTCTGATAAATGATAACCTGACGTGTAGTGAGACACAGCATGTTGACCCAGTTTCTGCTGATGGTAATGATGACTTAAATTATGTTGCAGAATCCTCATTGCAAATTCAAGCTGAAGAAGAATCAACTATCTCCCCAAGTGCGTGGGTAGAAATAGAGGAGCATCAGCCCATTTCCCCATGTAACAACAGCTCATCTCAACTTACCACTTCAACCAATGTTGCACCAGCTGGATTGTCAAGTCCTCGTGTCCGTCATTCTTTGTCCCAGATGCTGCAAGAAGAAAGTAATGAACCAGATACTATTGAGTGGGGAAATGCTGAAAATCCTCCGTCCATTGTGTTCCAGAAGGATGCACCCAAAGGACTGAAGAGGCTCTTAAAGTTTGCTCGGAAGAGCAAAGGAGATGGAAATACCACTGGTTGGTCTAGCCCATCAGTTTTCTCTGAAGGAGAAGATGATGCTGACAGTGTACTCAGAAAGGCTTCGCTTAATGCCAGGAACTATGGGCAGCAGAAGACTTCCTTAGGCGAAGGTTATGATGCCCGTGAACTATACTCTGGTGAGTTTCCTCTTTTCATTGCTTAATTCCATCCTCCTTTTGTTTCTTTTTCTCCTTTTATATTTTCCTAGCCAACCTTTGCTTTAATTTGTTTTTGAAGTAGATAGTAGAAAAATGCAGATGGTATTTAGAGAAAAGTAGAATATTTGTTTGGATGTCCATTGTTTGCCTCCCCTGAATAACTCATGCACTTAAATGGGGGTTGGCGCTGTAGTTATATTCTTTCATATTCCTAGCGGAGTCTCATGCTCTAACCGTTGTGGGTTTGTGCATACAGCTCAATCAAATATTAGCAAATTCGATGGCCAGAGTTGTTCACACAAGTTGCAAGAGAGCCGCGACGCACCTGCGACTAAAGGTTTCACACGTGACTAGAATATATACATGCATTATCGTTTTTCTATTGTTTCTTACTGTAAATTCTTTTCTGCACCTATACTGGAATTTTGATGCACCGATTCTAATTCTCTTATATAAGATTCCAATACTGTGTACTATTTTTGTGTGTTTCAGCAACAAGGTCATTCTTCTCTCTTTCAGCGTTTAGGGGCAGCAAACCGAATGAGATGAAGTTTCGCTAATGCTAGAGAGCTGGAGTCAGATATGGCAAAATTTTCTACTCCTCCTTCACTGTGGTTGTAGCATGTATCCATTCTTCCACATGCAGAGACGAGGGGTCATCCCAATTCTTCTGGCATTTATTGTTTCTTTCCTCATTGTAATATTTTGTTGATGGGTCTTTTCTTTTGTACATTCAATATGCCCTGTTCTGCTCAGAGATTTAAGCACACCCTTGTGAAGTTGTTAACCACTATGCTTAGGATGTGAGGCAATTTCAGGTTGGTATATGTGTAGTCAATTTCATTTATTCTAGGAACAAAGTTGCTTCATAATTTTAAATCCAATTTTAAATCTGTAAACTTTGCGTATATTTTGCATCAATATGAATGCTTTGTGACAGAGTGGACACCTGTCTTTTCAGCATTAAAGAGGAATTGTAATTTTCGTTGTAGCTTAATGGTTGGGTAAAAACCTTGACTATGCTTTCCACCTACTTTTTAGTCATTGAGTGTGGCATTTTTTTCTTCATTTTAATTATGTTTGTTTGACTTGTATGCTTTGTATTATTTGTCTCTTTCCATCCTTTCTAAATGACACGTCGTCTTCATTGTCCATAAAAGATTAAAATAAAAATTTAAAAAAGAGAGGAGAGAATGTTACCTTTTTTAACAGCGATTTTCATGGCCGCTCAATTTTTCATCTTCCATTATATCTTTTCATAACAAAATGAAAATTAAGGCGTAGCGTAGGGTCCTCAATCCTACGAAAAATGAGGCTCTATCACTAATGTATGAAAACTGAAAGAGAAGAAGCGTACCATTTTGTTGCACCTTCAAAGATGTTTTCTTTCCTTTATATTTTTCCTGAATTTATTGAGATAAAGATGACTGACCAACCAATTATTTTTTTTTGTTGCACCTTCAAAGATGTTTTCTTTCCTTTATATTTTTCCTGAATTTATTGAGATAAAGATGACTGACCAACCAATTATTTTTTTTTGTTGCACCTTCAAAGATGTTTTCTTTCCTTTATATTTTTCCTGAATTTATTGAGATAAAGATGACTGACCAACCAATTATATTTTTTTGAGTCAAGGTAATTCATTTATCTATCATTGGCATGAGGCACAGGCATTGAGAGTTGCTTCTATGGATGCACTTGAGGACAGAAATCTGGTTGCCACTTTGGATGTGAATCGGGCTTCTGTGGATGCATGTAAGTCCCATCCTTGATTTTTTTTAAACGTTATATTGGGTTAAGCTCATGGATTGATGTTCATACTTTCCTTAGGATGTAGCAGAGACATATTCCTGACTTTACAGCTTGTTTTGCTGGTTAAACTTCCTGACTCTATTATCTTTCTAAATAAAGCTAGTCATGTTAGGGAAGCTAAGTACTAGCAACCTAATTAAAGTAGCTTGTTGTAATCCATGAGCTGAACCCAATACTCTTGCCTTGTCTCCTTTTTTCCTTTCAATTAGCATATCTGTGCAGTACAGATGATTGAGATTTTTTGAAGGGATGTTCTTTTAACAGTCTAATCAGAACATGTACCCCTGGAAATTTTTTGAACAGTCTAATATCATCCTCATTTTATTAACACCGTATGTTATCATAGCCAAAGTTTGATGCTTCTACTACATTGAACTATATAAGTGGTCATTTTTCTTTTGGGTAAATGAATAATTGAAAGTGACCAATATACTGGAAGCAGTATAAAAAATAATTAATTATATGTTTAGATCACATTAAGTGTGCATTTAAGACAAATCAAATTAAGATATAAGGGAATAATTAATTAATATCATGATCTGGTGTACCTCCGTTACCGACAGAAATTGAGACATTTCCATAAGTTATTCTCTAATCTTATTTTGCTCCGTTGTTAGCAGCACTGCATACTCCTGCAAAACCCCATCGAATCGAACAATTAGTAGCAGTTAATTAAAGCAGCCATAATCAACATAAACAAATTATATATATACTAAACGGCAATCCAACTAAACACTGTTCTTAAGCACAGTGTAATGACGGAAATGCCCCTCATTTTACTTTTTTTGGTTTTGTTTTCTCTTCATAACAGTAAATTGACGCAAATGCCCTCAACTAAACATCTTCTTCTGTTCCCTTTTTGCCCCTTCCCCTCCGCTGCGAACGTTTCGTTCGCTCAGAGAATGCGTCCATTTTCAGTCCATTTCGAACCAGCTGGTTTGGGGGCAGCCATGGAAGATCTGCATTCATTGTTAGACATGCGTGGGGGGCCGTCGATTTTCGTTTGGGAGGTGCGCTGCAAATCCAGCCGCACTTTTAGTCTTCGTCTCACAGATTTGTGGTCGGGAGATTTCTCATCGTTTCTACAGCCTTCGACTCAGACGTCTTCAATCTTTCTTGCTTGCGAGTTTTTGCATCCTTTGTCTTCAGGTATGCATCCCGTCAACTTTTTAACAGATCTTTTGGTCTTCATTTCATGAATTTGTTTGTTGGCTGGGAGATTTTTCGTCCTTTGTAGAGCGTGGGTGTGTGCCATGTTCTATCTTTAGGGTATTTTTGATTTATTTTTTACGAATTTGGGTTAATTTATTTGGTTAATTTGATTTCAGGTTCTTGGGTAATCCCTAATGCTATATAAGAGGAGCTGAGGTATTTATATTTCACAACATATTGGGTTCTATCAGGAAGGGGATTGAATCTCACAGATTAGCTCAGGTATTTCCATCGTTCTTACTATTAATTTTTTTAATCACAGTTGAAGGCTCTGAAAGCAAGCTAATATATAGAGTGACGGTATAAATAGATGGATCATGGATCTTGGTGCAATTTTCTCTGTTTTTTTGGGTTATTTTTTATGCTGTTTTGATTCATGGGTTGGTTTTTATGTATTTTGTTTTTAGAAGCTGGACTTTTTGGAATTTGATATTGATATGGGAATTGAAAGCTTTCAGTTCAGGATAATGCTTTTCAGTGTGTGTGTTTTTTTTATATGTCAGTCAGAGACTTGAATCTTATCTGCATAATATTTCCCCTCCTTTCTGTTTCTTTTGGATTAAACCTGAAAAATAAAATAAAAAAACAAGTGTCCAATGCAATGCAATTGAGACTCTACTTAATGAAATTGTTCTCTGGCTTTTCCTTATCTGAAAAATGCCAATTTTCCATGGAAACAAAGGAAATTAGGATATTATATAGAAACAAAAGAAATTGTTGTGTTATGTATTGCAATACAGTTAGTGAAAGAACTTTTTTTAAATAAATGTTTGTTTTTTTCAATTAATAATGGAAAAAACTTTAAAGTGAGAAAAGATCATCAATTTTTAACAATGAGGATGAGATTTTTTTTTTAAAAGGTTGGCTACATATCAAAACACTGTTAAAGATGTAGCACATGTGGCACTAATTACACAAATTGTGTAATGATCTATTGTTGTTAATATTTGCTTTCTTATTTTATTTTTTGTTTTTCTGTTCATGTTTTTTAATACTAATTTTATGTAATATTTACTGATTTGGTGATGTCATGTTAGAGATGTTCAAAGTTTGAACACTACCTCCAATATTTGAATTCTAATTCTGAATTTTAATTCTTCTCTCTTTCTAAGTTTGAACACTACCTCTATTATCTGGAACAAATTGGCAAAAAACAAAACACATTTCAATGGAGATAAAATTTGACCATGCAGAGAGCTTCTTTGTCTGAGGTTTGGAGGTGTAAGAGGAGTTGGGGTTGCACTAATTTTTGTTTGTGGTATCATGGAGTCACACAATCATTTAATGTTATTGATTACATCTGTTTTGCTTGGTTAGGCTATAGAAGCTCTGTTTAATTAGTTTTTGGATATTGTGTTGTTTGAAAATTCTTATTTCTATAGTTGTGCTATTGTTGGTGTGTGTCCATTTTGCTTCATTAGGCTATAGATGTAATTAAGAAATAATAGTTTAATTCATGAATGTTTTTTCCCTTCCCAACTTTTGATCTGTTGGTCGAAGTTTGACTCTGATTTTTGCTTTGGATTTTGATGATGGCTGATATTCTGTTTTCTTCTATCTCTGTTTGTTTTTGTTTTCCAGGATTTTTCTTTTGTTTTAGAAGTGGACTAACAAAGTTCAGGCATCTCATATAAAAACACTACAAAGAAAAACATATTTGGACAGTTTTGGGACTAGAAAATCATAAACTGCAATTCTTTCGATTTTTCCTTGCTTTTTCTCTTCTTTCTTAATCATGTTTTGTTTTGATGTTTTGTAGGTGTTCTTTTGCTGCTTTGGATAGAGCTGTTTGGTGATTGTTTTTGGTTCTGTTAAGCAAGAGGTGCGTTTCTATGTTGAAATTTCAATTTATTGTTTTCGGTTCTGTGAATAGAGCATAGTAATTAGCTAATGGCATCAATTGACAATTGGTTGGGATAAATTTGAACTAATTGCTATGGTTGTACAGCTGTAAATGAAGCCAAGTAATTCTTATGTGGTTTGAACTAATGACAAGCTGTTTCATGTATGATCTGTGCTTAAATATATGTTAATATTTTTGACTTTTTCCTTTTAGTTTATGGAAGATATGATGTATTTGGAGGGGTTGTTGCTAAGAGTGATAACAACATGATGTTGCTTTTGATTATATATTAATGCCTTTTCGTGTGCTGAAGCTTTTTGAAATTTTTTGTTTTTCTGAGGGAGCTTTTTTAACATGAAAAATGAGATGTAGCTGCCTTTGGTTTCATTTGATTGATGTTTTGGGTTGATTTTTAGGCATATATGTTTAGTACAAATTGGAGCTTGATCTTTAGATTGTTAGAAAAGACTTTGAGATGACTCAATTGTTGAATTAGAGTATGAGATTTTGATATCTGTTAAAAGGGGAAAAAGGGAAACAGAAAAATGGAATTGAAAAATGTATAAAAAAATCTTGATTGTTTAGGGTGACTTTTGCATAGGTAACTTTTGATTGTTTAGTCCAGTAACTTTTGATCTTATATTCTTTGTTTCATATGCATTTAGGATCATTTAAACAGCCATTTTCCCGTGCTTTTACAGTGTTTTTCTTTGCCCAAAACACATTAATTTGGGTAATCTTGAGTCATTTCTTGCCTTGCAGATTTTGCTCAGGCTAAACTTTTGGTTTTATGAAAAGATTGTGCATGTATAAAAATATGCAAGCTAATTACTTCTCCATTTTTTCTGTTTTTTCTTCCTTTTTCTTCTCTTTTTTTTATTTTTTTTTATTTTTTAAAACCCATGTTTTCTTTTGATATTTTGCAGGTGCTCTTTTGTTGCTTTGGATTGAGCAGTTTGGTTGGTGTTTTCGGTTATGTTAAGCAGGAGGTGAGTTTCTAGGCTGAAATTTCCAATTAATTGTTTTAAATTTTGTGAATAGAGCATAGGAATTAGCTAATGGTGTCAATTGACAATTGGTTGGGATAAGTGTGTGCTTCTTATTTTTTCTTCAAGTCCTAAAGAAAGATGGCAACCGTACAAAAATAGACTTCAACAATTTTCAAACGCAAAAAAAAGGATTATATGCCTTATGAGAAGAAGAAACTGAATTTTCGGTTTTTGTGTTTTTTAGACTGTTTGGTAGCTCTTCCCATTGCTGCTAGACATCAGGTCAGTTTTCTATTCGTCTTTTGAATAAGTCTTGCATATCAACTGTGGCTAATTGGTTTTTGGATATTGTGTCTTTGAAAATTGTTATTTCTATCATTTTGATGTTATTGCTTATATGGTTTGCTTGATTAGGCTATAGAAATTGTATTTAATTCGTTTTCATATGTTTGTTTTGAATTTTTTTATTTATATAGCTACAATACTGTTGGTGTGCGTCCATTTTGCTTGATTAGGCTATAGATGTAATAAAAATATTGTAATTTAACTCATCCATGTTTATTTTTGTCCTTTCCAGCCATCGATGTGTTGGTTGGAATTTGTAATTTTTGAATATGATGCCTAAAAGAATTACAAAAACCAGAAAAAGCCTGAGTTAAATTATAATAGATCGATATTGAATGCATTAGTGCCAAGGAAAATGTTGTTGAGTTGTAAACAGTTACTCAAAATCTTCCACCTGTTTCATGATAAATGTTTTTTTGTTTTCAATGCATAGTGGAAATAACTTTAAAGTGGGAAAAGATCATCAATTTTTAACAATGAGGATGAGATTTTTTTTTGAAAAAGGTTGGCTATATATCAAAAAACTGTCAAAGATGTAGCACATGTGGCACTAATGCTCCAATTGGGGATCACCAGGTTGTTCAGAGCCCTGTTTTAGAATCTAGAATGTCTTTATTTTTCGCTCTTTTGATTGTTGCTTAATTTTATTTCAAATTGCTCCTCTGCAAATGGTTGGTTGCAAGTCACAATTATGGGCCATTGAACTAATTTCCAGTAACAAGTTGACCACGTTGGCTTAACTAATTATATAGGATTTGGTCGATGTTTGGTTTTATCGAATTTGTTTTTTACAGAACATTTGGTATTGGTCTACACTGTCTTGCATGCATATGGATTTTGAAATGAGTTGTGATGTGTTTATTTAGTTTTCTCTTTATGGTGTTGGTTACTTTTCAACCAATTAACATGTGATTCTCCTCTCAAGGAATTTGAAAAGAAACCAGTCTTCAATTTGTATTGTCATATTTTCATGTTTTCATTTGTTTGTGTAAGAAAAGGAAATGTAACAAAAAGTATAGTTTCTGTTGGTTCTTGATATTCTTCAATACGAAAATCAGTATTGAAACAGATTCATTAATTGAGACTGTCTTATCTCACAAGCAAAACCAAAATTATATTTATTAGCCTAATTTTGTTTTTCTGTCTTTGTATTTTAGATAGCTGTTGTGATCCTGCTTTTGTGTGGCTGTTTTTCAAAGTGCTTGATAGCTTCTTTGACTACAGGTTAGTGTTTCATCCATTTTTCAAAAGTCTGCATGCATGGTGGCTGTAGCTTATTGATTGCCAAATATTATGACAATTGAAAATTCTCATTTCTGTGGTTCTGTCAATATCACGGTGCATTTGCTTTGCTTAATTACAGTATAGGTGTGATTGATAATTTAAAATTTTATAAATGCATGTTTTTTCTCCTTTCCAGTTATCAATCTGTTGCTTGGGGTTTTAAATTTCTGTGCATAATGTGTAAAAGGAGATAGCAAACGGAATCAGATGATGCAAGAAGCTCATAGTTTTGCCATTTCAAACGGTATAGAAATCTCTTATGAAAGTTTTTGTCTTGCCGATGATAAACATAAAACCAGAGAAGAAAATGTGTCAGATTCTGACAATTTACTAATTATCGGTTTGAAGAAGAAAAAAGCCCAGGGCAGTTCCAAATTGCCTCTCCTACTTCCACACCAGAGTTTATGCTCTTTCCTTTTCAATTCATTCATCTCATTAATGTACACATTACATACATAATATTTCATTGTTCACAGCTTATTTCCCCACTCAATTTCTCTATATTAAGTGGTAGTTGATTGCATTGAATTTGGGCAAAGTTTCCTTTCTCATAATTGTCTTAAATTATGAGTCAATTTTAAAAAAAATTTATCAACTCTTCTTTTAAAATATGATTTTTCTCAAACGTCTTTTAGAATGCAATTTGGTTTCATTCCTTTGAGCCAATGTGTTTGATTTTAAAGCATTTGCCTTGCATTAATTTTTGTGGTTTACACAAGTGATGTACATATATTTCAATTCTCCCTGATTCTAATATTTTAGTCACTTGAAATTTTTGTTCATACTAAGAAACTTCCCTGTTTTTAGAAGTTGGGGTATGGATATTTGATAACTTCAATAAATATATAAATTTATTTACTCTTTTTTATTAATTATTAAAATTTTCTTTTTTTTTTCCGTATTTTTTTGGAGCTCCCATATGAACTGACTTTCAATTACATTTTTCAAATTTGAAACATTGTTATTAAATGTTTTAATTGTAATTAACAAAACTATAACCTATAGCATCTTATCTCTACCTTTATTCTACTTCTATAACATATAGCTGTTTATACATCATTGCTCCGTCCAGAGCTTACTTCTCCACTAGATTATCTTACTTCTGTAACAAATTTGCTCATTAGGTCACTAGATCATCTTATTTCTGTTTATAGGTTATTAGGCATTTTTAGATCATTTAAATTGTGGTTTTTGCAGTTTTTGTTGTTGGCCTTACTTCTATAACAATAGCCATTCTCTTTGCTCAAATTTTCTCATTTGTCGACACTAACACCTACTGTTTACCAAGTTTATACCAACTGAGTCAACACCTCTTGATTTGATTCTATTAAAATTGTCACAATTGTTTTCAGTTTATTTTCAATTGATTCAATAAAATTGACCTTATACTTTTATCCATCAGATTAATAGAATGCTTGATGTATGTAAATTGTTATTTCTCTGGTTTACTTTTTTAACTTAATTCTATCATAATAATTAACGTTTGCCATTTTCCGATTTTATACCAACAGAGTTAAAACCTCTTGAATGGAGAAGAAGGAACATCAGCCAGCTACGCAACAAATGCAGCAACAGCTAGATGTCCTTGCAAGAAACATCAAAAAAGAAAAATCCATGTCCACCACCCATTAAAATATAGATAGACGCCTGCACAAGTTTTTTTAAACAATATGCAGCTCAAGGCTGCTCATATTTTGATGTTTTAATAGCTGCTTGATATATTAAAATATGCATAATATTTTTACAACTTAAACTTGCCAAACTAAGCATGATGGCACTGTTTAGATCTCAATTTATATATAAATAGGGCCAGTACTTTAAAATAATAAGCAGCACATATATCATCTTATTAATTTATTTTTTTGTAACTTAAACGTACTAAACTAAGCATGATGCTACTATTTAGATCTCAATATACATATAAACAAAGCCATATGTTTCCTACATATTTTTACGACTTTATACATATTTGGCGCAATTTCAAAACCCGCAGCATCGTGCGGCGCCTTTGCTAGTTAAAATGAAATGTCCAAATTTGTTGGTTCACCTTTTGGTGGAATAATGAACCATCATGTTCCCAGTCAAGACATGTCAAACAGGAATTTGACGTGGTCACTAAAACTAGATTATCCTCTTTGTTCTTTGAACACATGAAGCACTCCATATATTCAGCAAGAACATACAGGGTGCTTCATGCCTCCAAGAATGAAGATGATAATCTAGCTTGTACTCAATCAAGTAATCCAACTAGATCTTAAAAAAGTCTGTTGATGAAATAGTTGAACTGAAGATATTTATCAAGGAAAACAAATTGAAGTTTTTGTTTGGAGTCGATGTGGGACTGCTGCAACCACCCACGACCCGGTCTCTTCTCTGTCCTAATGAGTCCCGGTTCTTTGGTAATTTCATTGGAGACCTGTTCACCCTTTGATGGAACTCTTCATCGTCGTCTTTGGTCATGGTGGTAGTGGACATGCTCTGACTCAGGCTGCAAATCTCCGATTCCTGTTAGATGTCTTCATTGTTATTGTAAATAGGTATTTTCTCCTCCATCTTTTCTGGGTCTTCTTGTTTGATTTTCTTCTCAAAGACTAGTGCTTTTAAGGACCTAAAGCTGAGGACTTTTCAGGGGTAGTGGTGCTCATACAGCAATCCATTTGGTTGTTTTCAAAAGTTTCAAACTTTCAATCAAGATTTGCTAATCAGAAGCTACTAGCTAGTAGCAGCTAGTGGACTGTGAGTGAGTAGAGTGTTGTTGCTGCTGCAGTAGGCTTTAATCAAATTGGAAAAAGCATTGTGGGGTTTGGGCTCAAAGATTGGTCGTTATTGCCGGAATTGAGGTCACTGACACAGACCATGCTCTACGATGGACCATGGTGGTTGGTTGGATTAATTTGGTCGGGACAAGTCAGGGGTTCTTGTTGAAAATACTGACAGGTTGGGAGCTTTGGGGGTCAATGAAATGTATTTATTATATTGCATTGCATGTAGGACAAAAAGTAAAAGGAAATACTTGGCAAAGGAAATATATTTTCCAAAAAACAAGAAGGAAATCTAGTTTATTGAGTTTAGTCTAAATTTTGGTATATTATGTTAAGGTTCTTGTTGGGTGAGGAGAGGAGAGATAAAAATATAAAAAATATAAAAAGTTGGAAGTCTTTTGATATTTTCAATGCGTATATTTTTAAAAATTAATAATCTATTTTAAATGTAATCTTAACCATTGAAAACCTCTTTTAAGGTTCTTGTTGGGTGAGGACATCAAAGACGAATAACATTAACAGAAGGGCTTAGATTGATAACACCTCTGCTCTGAAACCCCTTATTTGTTTACTTGTTTGTTTATTATCTATCATTGGCATGAGGCACAGGCATTGAGAGTTGCTCCTATGGATGCACACGAGGACAGAAGTCTGGTTGCCACTTTGGATGTGAATCGGGCTTCTGTATTGCATGTAAGTCTCATCCTTGATTTATGTGGGTATGTACCAAACGTAACAAGTTCAGTTCTTTATCAACAGATTTCATTGCTAACTGTTAGTGTATCGTTTTATTTATATAATATACACTATCTTATTTCTCAGTTAGGGTCAAAGTTTAGAAATTTCCGAAAGTTTTCGGAATCTATTGTGATCACAGGAATCTATTGGGTAATGTTGGGACCAGTTGCTGCAGCTTGGATAAGAAAGTTCAAGGAGTATTATTATTATTTTGAAAATCGGAATCGGAATGGTGAATTACAATTCCTGAGGGAGATGAAGGTTCGTCTAGAGAGGGAGAGGGAGATGGCAATTGCAATAGAAATACAATCGGTGGGGCTTCCTTATTATTCTTTTCTTATTTAAATTTTAATTGTATTTGTGGTGACTGAGTTCTTCTTTCTCTAGGCCATAGAGGAACTGATTAGAGCTATGAGCACAGATGGAGAAGCAGAAGGAGAATCCAGCTGATTTCTCCGTCTCCTTCTTCATCTCTGCTCAAAACATATCAATTTTAAAGACCTCAGCTGAAAAATAAGATAGTTGGGTGAACCCATGTATAAAAGATAAAAAGAGGAAGTGTATGTCTGTTTTTCGATGTGGGACTGCAACTACCTAGCAGGCCAATCTTGATGTAAATTGATAGAAATTTCGAAAAACCTAGCATGCCAATCTTTATGTTTATGTTTGAACTAGTGCACGAATAGATAGAAATTTCCAAAAACTTAGCAGGCCAATCTTGATGTAAATTTGTAATATATGACAATAAAATAAATATTTCATCATGTGAAAAGTAGTCTTTAGAATCGCACTTGTAAATGGCGTGAGAGAAGACTGCCACGCTTTATTCCAAGTGCGATTCTAAAGACTTTGCAAGCAATGTCCCACGCTTTATTCCAACCCAAATATGCTAATTCATGCATCAATGTTCAAAGATGTGGAGACTCAAATTGTAATTATGCTCCCTTAAACTGATCATGTTATGTTTACATTTAACATTCTCAACAGTATTTGGGTGGGCAAGAAGTTCAAAAACTTGCCAGACTGAATCATGTTTGTTGGTCCTTCAAAGAAGAGGTCTGCTTCTCTCTCCTCTTAAGGAATTGAAAGTATGGGAAAATCTTGTATGTATGAGATCCGTAATAACACGAAAATATATGAAAAAGTCGGTTTATGCTGTCCACGGCAGCACAGTCACCCAAGGATAACTGAATAGACGAGAGCTTCACAAGTTCATATCCAATGACAATGTGATTAGGATTATAGAGCTTCTCCAGGATCTGCCAATTGTCAATGTGAAACAACATTAAAACATCATTTGGAGTTATTTATGTATTAAACAAGTACACCAAGTGACTAGTGAGGTATCCATGTCTCATCTATGAATTTTATCCTCACAGAAATCAGATCTAATCAACACAAATGTATAAAGTTCAGGATGAAGTGACTTGTGCACAACAAGAGTTTTACCTTGATTGAGGCTTTACAGTGTTCCATTGCAGGTTGCAACTCTCCAACGAAACAAAACGCCTGTGCAAGATTGTCTTCCGCCTGCAAAGATCAAAATCATTTTAAGTCAAGTGTGATCTAATTCAGTGTCATATGTGCCAAAATCATTAAACACTTTCTACGTTGTTCAATAACAGCAACTTAGATATTGGCGTCTAGTACTTACAAATTGCACATTCAAATGATATAAATTCTATTGTACAAAACTGAAGGGTGGTCACAAACTCACTTCTGCAATGCTCCTATTATATGCATGGAAAGTTGATCTCAGCACACCAAGAGAACTTAACGCATCTGCCAGTATGGTGCTAGATACATCTTTTGAGACTATTGCATCCTGTAATCTGTCAAGAATTGAACACAAGACTTCAGCGTGCAGATTGAACATAGGAAATAGGTGCCCAATAAATTTGAAAAGATCATAACCAGTTTTCAGACGGTGTTATACCTTCTGATAATAATCCATGCTTTATTTGCAGCCGCAGAGGAAGATTCCAGATCACGATAAGAACAACATTTTAAACAGAGGCCTGGATTTATATGAAAATGGCTATTGATTTGCATATGATGATGAGCCACTCTATCGATGTCATCAAAATTGATGAACTCTTCAGCCTGTGTGAACATCAAATGAATGATTACATGAATATAAATCTAAGTGAGTTGGGAGAATTTGTACTTTCTAGGAAACATACAATACCTGAAGATGAGGCTCCATGTTGCCAGTGGTGATGATGTTGGGTAAGTGCTTAAGTTTCTCTTTTTCACAGTCAACAACAGAGCTCTGCAAGACTACGCCAGAACAATTCGGTTCGACACAGTGAAAAGCATTTAGGACCAGGTCAGAGAAGTTTACTTTTAAACACCCACTGCACTGACAACGAAATGAGTATTCATCTTCCAGAAACTTGACGCGGTCCTTACAGTCCCACTGCCCAACCTGTAGAAACAAAACTTAGTTTTGGTATTTCAAAATGTGGACAGGTTTAGGGGAAAAAAGGGCTCTCTACATTCTGTAGATACTATAGCTGCATGAACATCATAATGTTATTCCGCACTACCAAACTGAATGAGATACAACAGTAAGTGGGCATACCTGTGGACCATAGGAAAGCTCCAGGGGTACCCCTGCTGCGACAAATTCTGTCGTTCTTATAAAGAGAGTACGTGAAAGGAAATATGCATGGATGTTTGGCTGACAAGAATGATTGAACAGACTTCCAGATGTATAGATAGCTTGACCTACCCTGACCTATGAAAGTAACAAAAAGGATGATACACAGGGTCAAAGGGCATAATTTCTATCAACTGAAGTTAAACGCATATCAACACAAGAAGTTTTACATAATTATCACATGTGTCAGTGTCACACATGAAAATTCCTACTTAATAAACAGAGTTCAAGACTATTATGGAAAAAAGCAGTGTAACTGACTGGAACAAGAGTGGTCAGATAAGAGAAGAAACAAAAAGGAGC